AGAGAGAGAGAGAGAGAGAGAGAGAGAGAGAGAGAGAGAGAGAGAGAGAGAGAGAGAGAGACAGGGAGGAAGGGAGAGAGCGAGAGAGAAAGAAATTCGCACCAGCCCTGTGCGTCGTGCGTCGCGGTAGATGGTCCATTCGCTTCCACGTCGCCCGGAATCGCCATCGGCTCTTCTCGCGACGCTGTGAAAAATATGCGTGCTCCCGTGAGTGCCTGCTGCTCGTTGTTGTCGTTGTCATCGTCACCGTTGCTCCAACCACAGTCGTCGTTCGGTGCGTGCTCCGCTGACGCCGCCGCCGTCGCCACCACCGCTGTCGCCGCTGCCGTCGCTGCCGCCACCGCCGCCGCCGCCGCCGCCGCCGCTGCGATCGATACGCCATTGCGTCGCGACGTGCCGACGAGTAAATCGCTCGTTTGACGATGCCCGTGCCGCTGGCGGTGGTCGCGCTGCAGTGCATGCGATAATATACGCCGGACGTCGGACGTATCGTGCCGACGACATTCTCGTTGTTGTTGTTGTGTTGTTATTGGTTGACGCGCGTGAGACGGTGGCGCGCGATACTGATCGTCGGCGACGCCAGTAGCGACGACGACGACGACGTTCGTAGTACTGTGGCAGCCGCGACGTCGACGACGGGTTGACGTTGACGGTAACATGTACCGTTTGCGACAGTGCGCCGTAGTGAAGTGACGGATAGAGAGAAGAGAGAGAGAAAGAAAAAGAGACAGACATGATAGATAGAAACGCGCGTGTGTGCTGTGCGATGATTACGAACGATAGATAGGTAAAGAAACGGGTGGCAGTCGGAGACATGTGTCATTTTGTCGAGGCTGTCGTCGATTGCGTTCGATAAAGTAGATACGGCTCAGCCCGCTATGGATCGTCGGCCCGTGACCGTGCGACCCGAGTCGCTTTCGTCGCGCATCGAATTCGCGGCTACGAGGACGTCGCGTTGAAAACCACCGTCGCCGCCGTAGGAGGAGGAGGTGACGGAGAAGGAGGAGGAGGAGGAGGAGGAGGTGGTGGTGATGGTGGTGGTGGTGTAGTGGTGGTAGTGGAAGAAGAGGAGCAGAGGAAAGGAAGGAGGGAGTCCACGACGGAGGGAACTCGCGAGGAGGAGGCTCTCTCGTCCGAAGCTAACGGAGGACGGCGCTTCTGCGTGCGATCTCCGCGTAACGCGCTTTTCTGCCGCGAAAGCGGGAGAGAGGGAGAGTGAGGGACACGGACAAAGAGAAAGACAGAGAGAGAGAGGGAGAAAAAGAGAAGGAGAAAAAGAGAAGGAGACAACGAACGGCTTTATCATGTACGTGGAAGTGGCGTCGCGACGGATCGCGGCTCGCTCTGGCAGCATCGTTGTCTTCGTCGGCGGCGAATAATGCAGTAACGGTGGGAGGGGCGAACGTAGGGAGGAAGGAAGGACGCGACGAACGGGTTATAGCGTGTATAACTCGGTCTCTCGTGCTGGACGAGACGAGAGGAGCGCAGCGAGCGACAGAGAGGAAGAGAGACGGGCAGTGTGAGGAGGAGGAGAAGAGAGAGAGAGAGAGAGAGAGAGGAGGGTCTCTTAGCGCGCGGGTTAGAAACCCCGCTTGGCGAGATGGACCCGGGCATGTCCCTGGACTTGGCGCGTCGATTCGCAAGCGAGCGCGAAGAACGTGGAGCCCGCGCTGCTACGAAGACGAAAAAGAGCATGACAAGATGCTGGGCCCAAGTGTCGTGGAAATGGGATTGTCAAGCGTGTCAGTTGTTGTTCTAGTGGATCCCCCCGCTGCGCTACTTCGGTGTTCACGACGTAAATAAAGAAACGCTCGGTTGACAGTTTGAAAGATAATACGATATCGAATCGTGTAAGGCGATATACGAGACTCGTCCGTCGCTCTCGTCCGCGGCTCTCGCGCGATCGCGAGAGCATACATAGCAGTCGAGCGGTGCCAGCCGGCGGCGATCGTCGATCAGCCGTCCGTCCGTTCGTTCGTTCGTTCGTTCGTTTTTGATACTCTTCCCCGGCTTCGCGTCCGGACTCTCGGTCGACACTCGCGCAGAGGCACGCACGAGAAATAATGGAGACACTATTGCCCGGCAACACCACTACCACCAGCCAGTCGTACAGTCCGCAGTTGAAGACCGTGTTGAAGACCTATCAGCTGTCGGCCGTCAAGAGCCTGCAGGGTCCCAACTCGGCCCTCCTGGGCATGGACTGTAAAAGTCTGTTGCAAGAGCAGTCGGCGACCTCCTGCTACTCACCAGCCGCCAATCGTCCAGCGGCCAACTGCGGCTTGGACTCGCCGTCGTCGGAGCAGCTGCCGAGCGCGAAGGACGTTGTCGTCGAGAAAGAACGCGAGACCTCGCCGGCGACGCCCGTAGCTATCAAGCCGTCGCGTCAGCCGTTGACGGACTCGGACGAGGACTTTCCCGCGAGCAACCCGCAGGATCGTCTGAAGAGCGCGTGCGAGAAGCGCGAGCACGAGTTCCAGCGGCCGATACTCACCGCGCCCGATCAGAGCTGCTCCGAGAGGAGCGAGACCGTCCTGGAGGGCGAGAGGATATCCTGCTTCGAGGTGGGCGGCGAGAGGAGGTTATGTTTGCCGCAGATACTCAACACGGTGTTGCAGAACTTCTCGCTGCAGCAAATCAATCAAGTGTGCGACGAGCTGCAGATCTACTGTTCGCGCTGCACCAGGGACCAGCTGGAGGAGCTCAAGCAGTCCGGGATACTGCCGCGTAACGCACCCTCCTGCGGCCTCATCACCCAGACCGACGCGGAGAGGCTCGTGAGTGCTCTGCTCTCACGGACAGAAACCTGCGACCCGTCGCAAATCGCCCAGAGCCAAGAGAGCCTCGACAAGAAGCCGTGCGGCAAGAGCGAGGACGACGAGGAACCTATTGTTAAGTTCAAAGTGTACCACGAGTGTTTCGGCAAGTGTAAAGGCATCTTCGACGCGGACCTCTTCGAGGCGGACGACTCGGTGTGCATTGAGTGTCTCGAGTGCGGTTACTTGTTCTCGCCGCAGCGCTTCGTCAGACATGCTCATCGCTCCTTGGAAAATCGTACCTGCCACTGGGGCTTCGACTCGGCCAACTGGCGGTCGTATCTGTTGTTGTCGCGCGACCAACAACACTACTACAAGTCGCTCATCCTCTTTCGCGAGCTGAAGGAGGGCACCCTCGCGTTAAACCCCAAGCGAAAACTTAAGGTATCGATACTTTTTCCCTTACGCTTTTCCGCGTTGCTTGTTTCATTCTTTCAGGTTAAATTGTAATGCTAATATTGCGAGTCCCTTGATGTACATTGACACGATGTACTCGACTCGAGATAATGCTCAGCGTACAGCTGGCCCGTGCATCAATCTGCTTGTGCCAACCAGATTCGATAGTAAAATGCGGAGCAACTAATTGTGCGGTCGTTGCAACCACAGAGCAATTGCTGGGTCACAATGACGATATCTGATCGCTCCAACTCCAGAGTGCATCCGTGGCAAATGTCACCCCAACAACCGATTTCTGGTTGCCATTACTAGATCACACGCAACTACATTAATGTAGTTGATGTGCCAAAATAACCGAGTTGTATGAATCACGCGTATTACTATGAAGGCTCGTCTACACGGAGAAAAAAGGTCGGATTGATCAAGTTTTTGTTGAAATATAAATGGGTAAGAAATCCGGTTGAGGTTACCAGAATTCTACTCAAGTCAGCAAGATTTCTGGTCAATTTGAACAGAATTCTGATAATTTCAATCCGAATTTTTTCTGGTTCGTTTATATTTTAACAAAACTGTTTAATCCAACCCAATGTTTTTTCCGTGTACAATACACGGAATAAGTTTGCCGTAAGTTGAAGTAAAGAGTCAAGATAATTTACTTCGTTTACGTCTATATTCCAAATCTTCTTACGTCAGAAACATTTTCCTTACTCAAGAAGGAAGCTAGAGTATATAGACGTAAGAGCGAAGTAAATTATTTTCTTGCTCCGATTCACGCTAAGCTTACTCCGCATATTGTAGATGAGTCTTTGCGCAAAGATAACCAGTGTGATGCAACTCTGCCGCTCACAACCTAGTATGTCTGATTGTGTGCACCATATCTTTCTTTTCCCGTTGCGAGTGTAAGGGGAGTATCGGGAAGTATGTGAGCACGGGTGTCTGTTTCAGCTGCGACACGAGCACGAGAAATTAGCCAAACGCACAAAGAAGGACGTAGGGAAGGACGAGTGTTCCGGGATCTACAATGGCAACGGACTGGGAATGTACCATTCGGTCTCTCAAATGGCCGGCGCGGCTGACCCGTATTTGCAGATGCATTGGGCAGTCTTCGAGCTTGCCACTCGGGGCGCGTCTGCTTTTCGGCCTTGGAGTGCTACGGGCAATTGCAAGCACAGGGACAAGTGAGTATGGACCTTGATGAGACCGCATCAGCGTTGCTGAACGGCTAGGACACGAGCGCGACTGTTCGCACTCATCTCCGTCTCCCTTCACAGTTCATCGTTGGTGCCTGCATACCTTAGTCGAGGCCCGCCTGTACTGCAGCACCCCGAGCGAGTCATCCCGTTGTCGGAGTGCGAACGCTTCGAGCCGCACTTCCAGCCTAATGTGGCGCTGGCGCCCATACCGACACCCACGATGGCACAGATATCGCCGTCGACCGCGTCCTCGGTTCATCAGCAGCGGCGGCATCATCATGAGCATCAGCGCCGTCACGGTCATCGCTCGTCGAGTCCGGACGAGAAGCAGGAGCTGTTGTCCGCCAACGTCAAACTGGAAAAGACGTCACCGAGTCAGGTGACCGCTGCCGTCGTCGGTTCTTATCCTCTCTATTACATGTCGGAGGACGAGCAGAAGGAAGCACCGACCACGGCGAAGGAGAAGAAGGAGGAGAAGGAGGGCGAAGAGGAGGAGAGTAGCGCGGCGGTGACGTCGTCAACAGTGAACGTCGAGCCGGCGCCGGGTGCGGGTGAGGTCGGCACCTCGTCGCCCGAGAGCGACTCCGACTCGGACGTCAACGGCAACGCGGCCGCCGACCTCGAGGAACGACTGATGGCGTTGGAGGTGCCGCAAGACGTGTTGGAGTTGGCGCGCCGCATCGCGCTGGAAAACGCGCAGCTGCGTCGTCACCGTCGTTCGGACGCGCGCGAAATTTCGAGGTTGCGCAGCCAGTTGCACATGCAGAAGCAACAGCAGCAGCAGCAGCAGCAGCTTCAGTCCGCCGACGAGAGCGAGCCAAAGGAAGACGCGACGACGGCGCGTGCCGGCGCCGCGGCCGACAGCACCGAAGGCAGCGAGGAGACCGACGCGAGTTTACCATCGAACAATAAGGAGTCCGAGCCCGCCGTGCTAGCGACTAACAACGAGTCGGAACAGTGATTAGGATACGCGCAAGTTATTTAACGCTCAGCAATTACCGCTCTTCTCATCAGCGACTACCGCGACGCTCATCTCTGTCGGCCGAATAAACGTGCATTGAATTTAGTACGTTAGGTATGTACGGGACGCGGCGCTTGAAACGGATTGCGATAATTCAATCACCTCGAGCTACTGCTGAATTATGTGTTGCATGAAAAATTTCTGAGATACTCGCGAGTCTTTCCTAAAGTCACATGTCTTGATTACTTTTTGAAATTGCTTTTTCGAATAATGTTTTGAGATCATGCGCATTTCTCTCAAATAAAGGGTGGCACACCAAATATCCGCACCCCGATATGCAAGAGTATTGCAAATTTTGAGTGGAACAACATTATATTTTAATTGTTCCAAGCTTCATGGTTAACAAGATATTAATGAAAGAGCCGCGTCGCGGATTTAGATACGATATCACCGCGTGACGTGTGCGCCGGATAAGAGTTTTTATCTTGTTACCAATACAATTACACCTTGATTATTACGATCGTCTGATTTAGCGTGGATTAATATCGAAAACATACATCATGTCATACGTGACTGTCGAATCGAAAATGGAGCCGCAGATAGAATCCAGTAATAGCGAGCAAAAGACGATGATTATCGTTTATGACATTTGCATAAAAATACAGCACGTAACCGTAACTGTCTGTTGCGTTAAACAGGGGGGTAAAATGTGTACAAAAAATATAGAATAATGCACACAAAGTCGCCAAGCAAAATTTCAACGGTCACAGTAGAAACTTGCGATTAAGAACGAGGTAATTAAGAAATTGAAGCAATACATGCTCTCGTGAAAGCCGTATCGTTTCTTGCGCGCCCTCGTAAGCACGCATAGTTTAGAAATGACTCGAGGTGGTCGTCTCAAGTGCCTCAGCCCGTGTAACGACATTACGATTCTAAACGAAACGAAAAACTGTTTAGGTTTATGTGATACGCGACGAGCCTTTAAACGTTATCGCAGTTAATTCGGAGTTTTTACGATAAGTCCACGCGCTGTCCAACTCAAAATAAGAAAACATCCAGCTAGATAGGGTCTTCGCGTGCACGCGCGCGCACCTCGTACTCCCATCGCGAAATTCAAGCCGGCCGATCGTTGTCAGCGTAGATAACTCGTCTTCCACGCTCAAAGACGACTTCTGTCTCTTCTGTCAACTACGCGTGGTACGTCCACTTCCTGTTTGCAATTCGTTTGCCGCAGCGTCCCACAGCGTATAACACGAGAAAGAGACGCGAGATCCGTGTCGTTCCGCGAATGAATTTCGGCTTTGTCGGGTTGTCGGTCGGATGCCGCGGGGACATGTCGAAGTCTCGCAGTCTCGTCGGTGACATTAGCGGATTAGAAGAAGGGTGATACTTCCGGTGGGAGACGAGTGGTAAACCGATGTGCCACACGAGTTGGATAGCCACGTGTCAGGTATATACCTGTATGGGTCGATTTCGTCGGTGGAAATCGAGCGATATAGATATTGTGTATATATATCCGAGAGTGATACATAGATATTGTATTATATCGAAACAGGGGAGTAGATTTTAAGGGATATACACACCGCGCCAATAACGATTACATTTAATGGATATTACAGCTATATGAACACGATATACATCTCGCGTATATTAAATATACGCGAGATGTAAGCAAGATTTTTACGATTATCATTTTAATCCCTGATATGCTGGGAGAAGAAAATGAGTGAGTGAGAATAAGAAAAGGAGAATATGGGTGTATGCGTGTGCGCGCGTAAGTCAATGTGTCAGTGTGAATGAGTTAGTTATGCTTTCCATTCACGTCTTGTAGTCATGATCGCATAATGTAAATATACTGTGGCATCATAGGTATGTATGTTTATAATTAATTACACTATCATGACGAAATAATGCTGAAGTACAAAAAATCTAGATGCTATATTGTTATATTCTAGGTATGCTGTAAGAGCGTATACCTAGGTGTGTTCCAGCAGCTCGTACTACAATTGTAATGCCCAGAACGTTATACGCGTTCCGAACCGAATCATGCCGTTACGTTACGTATCTTGTACAATGCGTATATTAACGGATCTCTGCTTTTTTTTATTCGATCAAAAAAAAGCTCGGTCCAAGCCTAACGATGTCAATGAAGAGGGAAAGAAGTCGCGTACACAAAAATTATCTGGTAGTTACATACAGTAGGACCATAATTCGAATCATCGCTGATAAGAACATGAGTTCGACTGTTCTCGCATTTCGAATTATCAACGTGGTATCGCGACCGCGTCAAATTGTTTAATTTATTGATAACACAAGGGAGCGATGATCCGGACAACGGATCATCGACACTCGTGTATAGTTATGTTGTGTTTTCTTCCTTTTTTTTCGCAAAAAGAGAAATTAAACCTTTTCTAAAAATATGTATGCTCCTTACGGGCATAGCGGATAAAAAGTGAAATGGCACGTACGTGTGGACACGTACTGTATATAATTCTTGTTGAGACTACAATGTTTTTTGTTATTAATATATGTAATACTTTTAATTGAAGATTCGCAGCTGGGCAACTCTTACATCTTTAATATATATATATACATATAGATATATATATTTATATTTATTTTGTATAGTATTGTTGGTACATATCATTTTAGTTGTATTTAATATATGAATGGTCCTACTGTGAAAGAGGAAGAGAGAGAAAGAAATATATATATGCAGAGAATTATACTGTTCGTGCTGATAGCGCTTTCACATTTGGCAACGTCGAAAAATCATTTAAGAAGAAAAAAAATGTATAAAATTGAAGAGAGAGAGAGAGAGAGAGAGAGAGAGAGGGGGAAAGGGGAAAACGCTATCAGCACTGCTCATAATCTCTGAATATGTCTCGAGTTTTAGCAGAGACCGAGTGTTAAATTATATGTTGGATATAATTATTTTTTTTATTGCGGATTTTTATTTTTATGCGAATTTAAGTCGATTGTTGGGACTGACGAAATACGGAAAAGCTTCAAGAAGATTATTTTTCCTGCATGAGAATACTCCATATGAATTGTCTGTGTATCAAATTATTATATATTATACTACACACGTCACAATAAAGGGAAATAGATTTTTTTTAATATATTCATACGAAGTATAGATAAATAAAAAAAGTATATATATATATTGAAGCATGAACAAACAGCAGATATTATATGCACGTGTAAAAGAGGATGTAGATACAGAAAAAAATACATATATACCAGACATATATGCAAGAAGTAACTTTTTATTACGGATTGTCATTCATTACACATGTACGATACGCAAATCGATAATGCGCGATGGAAACGTTTGCCTTTTATACTCCCCTTATTTTATTTTTTTTCATATTTTTTTTTCTTTCGTTTCTTTCGCCGTTGCGCGCTGCGCTTTTGTTTCGCCGCTTGAATATTTTTACACGAGAGATACGTGACAGAGTTCCCAGTGACAGGATGTAGTACAATCTCCAGTTGTGGCACGCTATACGTTACGCGCGAGTGTATTTGTGAGAATGTAATCTTGTTTTTATACCGACTGACTGCAAAATCTTTCTTGAGGTACTTGTATTACGTGCGGCCAAGACGCAAGATACGAAGAGACTGACGTCGGGATTGTATAATGGACAACGCGCATCTATTCATATCTGCTTGTCAGGCATATAATAGCCATTAACAATGTAAATCGTATACATTGCATTATATTTCCATTGTGTAGCAAAACATGATTATTAAACACACGATTGTGTATCACGAAAATATACACGCATGTATTACATACGTCAAGACTGCCTCGAAGATCTCTTGTCGTACGTACGTTTGTCTTTTTTTTCCTGTTTTTTTTTTCTTTTTTTTTTTATTTCTCTTCATTTTTCATCTTTAGTATAGCAACAGTGCCAGTAATTTTCTTGCATCGCGTCATATAATGAGAAAAAAAAGGAGAGAGAGGTTTGACATTTTCAAGCTCGAAAAGATGCGAAAGAGAGAAACTTCTTAACGCGGCTTTCTCGATTCTGACAATGGTGTGTCCATGGAGCGAATATTGAATTTTCAAAGCAATCTGTTATAATGTAAAGAAAGGAACCTGATAATGTATGAAGTAATTGACGATATAGAATATAGATACATTCATTGCATACACATATATATATATAAATATATATTTATATTACATAGGGCATTATATTACACACACACACACACACACACACACACACACACATATATATATATATATATATATATATATATATATATATATATATATATATGTATGTATATGACATTATATTACACACATATAATACCCTATGTAACATTCGGTCAATATACATAAGACACACATACGTTACATTGTAATGTTACAATAATCTAAGCATCCCACCTAAGATAAAGAATGTAACAATCTATGTTTTCCATATATACACGCATACACACACGCGCGGAACACATATACAAACGCAGTTTATCGTAGAATTATCTAGGTACGTAACGTATAAAGATACTTCGTATAAAATACTTATAATTACATACAGCTCGATTTCGAGAATACACATTTGAAGTCTGTATAATAAAACAATTTCGACGAATCATTGTAACTGCCATGACTTAAGATGTATCTTGATTTATCTCGGGTGGAAGAAAGAGAGAGAGAAAGAAAGCGCGTGTGTGTGCGAGAGTGAGAGATGTATCTTAATTTCGAATGAAAATATATCGCAAATAAAATGGAGAGAGTACATATGATGCCTGATTTAATTGCAAGAGGAGAGACGAAACGAAAAGGAAATGTATTTCATTTTGGATATCGCGACATGTGTACGACACTCTCGAGACATTGCGTCGCGCTCATGAGTGCTCATTATAACACTGCGTCGAAACACAGAAGATGATGCTGATGCTCGCTTATGTTCGCGCTTCGCGGCGCAGACGTCGGAAGTGACTCTTCTCATCGTGCGTTTCGCGAGTATTATCTCCGTCGTTATATATACATATGTTTAGTCTGACTTTCGAAACACGAATTGTGCGTGTAAGTGCTAGCTGATACTACCTACACGTGTGCATGCGTGTGTGCGTGTGTCTCGCGCAGGTCTTTCGCGTTTGATTCGTCGCGTTGCTTACGAAATTCCTCGTCTCGGCGCGCCCGGCCGAAATCGCTCGCATATTTTCGTCAATCTCCAGCGACGCGTGTCTTATCAGCGGTGCTGTTATCACCGTCCGTGTAGCATACGTACACCGGCATACGTACGCGGGTGTTGTTCTATTCTTAACTTCGCACGAAAACACGAAAGAGTCGTAAAGACGATGCGAGCGAGAGCCCAATACCGCTCGCTCTCTCTCTCTCTCTCTCTCTCTCACTCTCTCTTTCTCTCTCTCTTTCTTTCTCGCACGCGCGATCCGTAATGTGCACGCACACGCGTACACATGCTCACACACCCACACACGTGTACACACACATATGCATATATATACACATATATATATAAATACATACTACACACACACGCCGCAGAAAATAAACTGTTGAGTAGACGATAAGGCGTACGGAGCAAATCGGCATCGTTTCGTTGATGCGATAACGAAATAAACGGATGATGCGGCGAGACGTTGAGCGTATCTAGCATAAAGGAGAGAACTTTGCTCCGCGACATGTCACATTTCCGGCAACTTTAGCGTGGATTCCGCTAGCGGAGGAAGAATAGTACCTGTGTAATCGGCGATAGTCTGTAACGTATAACGCGATCGAAATTTCCGAACATTCTATTAATACTACTCGGCCGCATAGAAGCAATCCCGTATCCGCGTGCCGCGTTTCGTATATACACTACCCAAACTACTACCCAGACTTCACGAATGCCATCTTCTCGCGTATGTCCATCGCGAGGGACGCGCGTCGCTAGAACTTGGTTTAAGCGTTTGAGAGAATCGGCCCGATGTCCTCGGTGCATCTCCGTTGAACGTCCTAGATCCTGGAGAGACGTCGTTTGGAAACACCTTTTAGAAACACCTCTCGATCTCTCAAGACGTCTCTCCCCGGGCGTTCGACACTTTTGAGACTTAGGCATCTTTTAGGCGTCCCGAATTTTTCAGACGCCGTTTAGACACCTTTTAGACGTCCTGATTTTTTAAAGCGTCGTTTAGACACCTTTTAGAGGTCCTTAATTTTTCGAGACGTTGTTCAGCCGTCTTGTGGACGTCCCAAGTCCTCAAGACGTCATCGGGAACGTCTGTTGGATTTTTAGGGAAGTTTGGGTAAGAGGCGCCGTTGCCTACAATTGTTATCGGTAATTTCGCTTATCGAAGGTGTTAGGGGAGTCGTAATTAGTGGAGAAATTATACTTAACGACACGTCTCGGGGACGATGCGTCGTACGAGCTCGAACGGAGGAGAGAGGATCCCTTATATATACATATATAGACGGTAGTTTATATATATATATCTCTCGGCTCGCGCTCTCTTATTTATTTCATCGTCGAAAAGAGCCGTGTATCGCACGTAGAGGAAGAACGGGTATCTCTCTCTCTTTCTCACGCGCGCGCGCGAACTGCGTAGGATTATTATATACTCTTTAAGGACTTCAGCGTGTGTCATTGAGATATATACACGACAAAGTGCAATACGAAAGTACAAAGTCTGACCTCTTGTTCTCGCATTTTATAAATTCTCACGAGAAGGGAGAGAAGGGGGAGAAGAAATCGCGACGACCGCTCTTCTTAAGTGTTCCACGCCCTCGTAGCCGTAAGAATTGCGAAAAGAAACACACAAAAAAAAGAGAACGCACGTTAAATTAGCGAACTAAACGGGCGCCCCGGTCCTCTCTTCGCGGCGTACACAAACACACACACATATACACACGTAACACACACATGTGGGATCTCTTATCCACCGAGATCGTATTTGCGCAACGATAAATTTACCGATAATACGGTGTAATTCCGTTTTTATAAGCGCGTACCTGTGAGATCTCTCGTATCTGTGAACGCGCGATTGCACCGTATCACAAAAAGAAAGGTGACGCATGTAGGGACGATTTTGTATCGAATCAATTTTGTATCTATTCGACACGTACACAAATACATATATACACACACACACACCCAGACACGCGTGCATTGAACACGTACACACCGAACCGACGATCCTTCGATAGAATCTCGCGACTTCCGGTACGTCTGAAGCATACGGATGTGGCGTAACGTAGAAAAGGGAGAAAGAATAAAAGGAAAAAAAAACGACATTTCTACGGTCTCATATTATATGTATATATACATATGCCGAAGACGTTAATGGTACCTAAGTAGTAGTCGATCCGCAAATCCACCGATGACTTATATTCGGCACGATTACGACATAATTGTACATACGCGAGTATTTTGCAAAAAAAAAAAGAAGAGAAGAGAGAAAACGAAAGGAAGAGGGAGAAAAAGAGAAACAGAACGAGTTACATCCGCAATTGTTAAGCGTAAGTCAGGAGAGCTGTTACATAGACAGAAAACAAATATACCACCGTCGTTTATATTAATTGATACAAATAAAATCAAGTTTCGAGCAACGCCTGTGCGTGTCGCCTGTGTGTGTGTGTCATTGACCGCAACTTTTCGAAATTTCGCACGCGATCGAAATTCGACTCGAGACTCACGCTCGACTCTCTCCCCGGTATCGACTGATCGTGGACGGTCAGCCAACTTCACGTCTTCCTACGACACAACATTTTCAATCTTTATTTTCAGTAACCGACGATTAACATATCGATTGCTGCGACTCATCGTCACTACAATTCTTTAATTTACTCATTATATTAAATTTACATTACGCTGTTTTTGCTTCCCGTTGAAATCAATTGTTTTGGAAAAGCCATCGTTAACCTTTCTTTTCAACGAAAATAAGCGAAATCTGTTTTCGAGTGAGGTCCGTTCTAAGGCCTGCGTTAATAGTCGTTACTTAGAGTTTGTCTCACGTGAGATATTCAGATTTTTCTTCAGGATTAGATCCAAATTTTTTAGTTGAATTATATGATATATATGACATTGTATGTGTCTGTAATCGCGATTCAGCTCAAAACTCTCTCTCATCTAGCTCTGAGTATCTCATTTGAGAGAAGTGTCAACTAACGACTAATCGGTTAATCTTTCCGTCAATCTCTACGTTGAATTCGACCGACGTTTGAAACGCCAGCTCGTTCCCTCACTTCACGTTTCGTAGTCGAAACTTAACGGTACCGATCGCGGACTTGCCGCTCCACGATTTTCGCCCCACAGTAGCGCTCTCTACCTGCCGTGTCCAGGATTAATAATTCCCGTAGCGATCGGAGTCCTGTCCGAGAGACGAGCGAAGCGGCCCGAGGGAACGAGTTGGTCCGCGTCGGTCGTTCAGTTCCGCTGCACGTTTCGCCGACGGGCCAACTTCGCGAGTCGTATTTTACGCAACATCCTCCGTCCGCCGCGTAACACATCTCGCAGCGAGCGGGAGAGAGAGAAAGAAAGAAAGGAAGAAAGAGAGAGAGAGAGAGAGAGAGGAATCGAACGCGTCGTGGAGCGTCTGGATCGTGCGAGCAGGTGACCGATCGCCGTGCCTGGAGATGTGAAATCTCGGAGCGCGAACGAACGGCAGAACATGGCCTTCCTCTGCCCCGTGCGCATTCGTCGCGGCAAGAAGAAGAAACGTGAGTAGACACGACGGCGTTGTCGAACACGCTCGCCTTCCTCGCGAGGAGAGGCCGAGCCGACGGCATAGTTCGCCCGTGAGAGCCAGTTGTCACGCTCGGCTCGATCACCTGTTGCTGCGGACCGGTTATACAGCTTCCACTCGCGGCGCCGGAAAGGGCCGAGTTCAAGCACCGATTACGCGCGACTTTCGATTTTTCTTCCGTGCGAGAAGTCGCTTTAATTATGAATAGTTCGCGCTCGCTGATTATAAACGCGTGTCTTTTGGCAGTCATTTTTCTTCCTGGATTCATCGATTTCATATTATTTCGGGAGTATATATTGATGTGTCGCAGGAAGCTGAAATTGTTTCTCCTTAGCGAATCAAGTAATGCACAATTAATTAGGCCAGGGTTTTGTAGAGTTTGCGAATTCTTCTTCAAACACATTATATTATCGTCTCATAGTATAAACATTTCAGCCCGCACTATGCAGTCGCGAATGAATCTTTAAAAGCCCTAATTCTCTTTTGTCCCCTTTTTTTTTAATTTACCGTAATTGATAAATTCTGGAGAATTGAATTTATCCCTCTTACAGTTTCAGCTCACTCGTACTCATGATAATCGTTCATTTCAAACAGCGGGAACGCATAACTTCAATTTGGAGAAGGACTGCGTTGGAACAGGAAGCACAGGACTTGGTCTGGGCACCAGGGTACCGGTGCCCCCTGGCCGGATAACGGGAAGCGCGAGTATTGAGACCCTCGTAAGAGTCGGCATCGAAAAGGAAAATGGGCTCTCGCCTGATAGTAAGATGGTTATCGTGCATGATTTTACTCCTTGCGTGGACGACGAGCTTCAAGTCAAACGGGGACAGGTCAGCAATAAACAAAACTTTTGCCAACGATTGTTTTTACTTATACTTTGTTACTGTAATTTGGATTTAATAATATAGATATTTTAAATTCTACAAGACTTTCATAGATTTAATTAAAAACTTAATAAATAATACAAGTATCTAAATGCGCACGATACAAAACATCATGTGTTGATGAATTATCAAGTGATAATTCGCAAGGCAATCGTAATAACGTAATCATAGTTTTTGCCTTTCAGGTAGTGAACGTGCTTTACCGGGAAAATGACTGGGTATACGTGATAGCGGCTGATACGCGCATGGAAGGATTTGTGCCGCATTCGTATTGCGCACCGTACACGTCGCAGTTGGCGGAATTGACGCTCGCCAGTCTAAATAACGTGAAGAAAAAGTTGCCGCGGTCCAGCGAGAATGACTGCGATCTGCTCAGCACCGGCCGCTTGCAGACGACGGAGACTCAGCAAACTGACACCGGGTCGGCGTCGGATTGCGAAAGCTACGCGCGAAACATCACCACCGCAGATGTCAACGTCAATCGCTCCAACATCACGCAATCCCAAAATTCCATACAAACTATATCGTCTCAGCCGGACGTGCATCCCTTCTTCAAGGTACAACCTTGACTACTTAGAACAGTCGTCTGAGAGTCAGCAGGAAATTACACTGAACGTTCGCGTAACTCGCAGGACCCATCGGCTGGAAGGTATATCGTCCTCTACACGTTCGTAGCACGAGACGAGAACGACGTGAGCGTCGAGAGAGGCGAGTTCGTCACGGTATTGAATCGCGATGATCCGGATTGGTTCTGGGTGCTGCGACATTGCGACGGCAACGAGGGTTTCGTGCCATCTGGTTTCGTCTACCCAGGTCACGTCCTCCATTCTTACGCGACCACCACGACGGCCACCACTGCCACTACCAACACAGCGTCAGCAGAGACTCACAGTCTAGGTCAGCATTTTGCATAACAATTAAAGGGTCCACAAACAAATTTAGAAGAGACTTTCTTAAAAGTATATACACACAGAAAAATATCATTCTACTGTTAAGAAAAACGATCTTTTAAGTAATGTTTATCTTTAACAAAGAATATTTTCTTGACAATAGTCTTAAAATATACTTATTATAGATTTTAGAAAAGATTATTGTTTACTCGAAAGAAAGAGAGGAGAATTGATCTTCTTTATAAGAATATTTTGAAACACATTATTGATAAAAATGTTAACTCAACTCTATATAATGTGTAAGTCGAATTTTTGTTTTAATTTAATATTTTTCATTAAAACGCTAAAGTTACTAGAGTTCAGAATGTATTTTGGATAAATTTGATACTTATGATGAGCTTATGAAATATATGATGAATTCGCGAACATATAAACTTATGAAATATTTGAAACAAATAGCACTTACTTGAATGTAGTGTGTATTTTTCTGTGTGTATATAAATGATAAAACTCTGTGAAATTCCCAAAGAGACTCGTACAATCGATCTTCTACGATTATCGACCTAATGATTGATTTTACAGGCAAAGGCACCGGCAATCTAACTGGAAGCGAATCATTGCAACAGAAGGGACTGCGAGATTTCCGAGACGAAACGACCGGCACAGAACTCGTGGTGCTTTACGATTACAAGGCGCAGGCGCCGGATGACCTGTCGGTGAGGAGAGCCGACTGGATATACGCGGATCTGGGAAATCAAACGGTAGACGGTTGGCTCTGGGCGTACGCGCCCAAAACTCGCAAGTACGGTTTTATTCCTAAAGCGTACGCGCGACCTCCCGCCATGACTAGCTTGTGACTCTCGACAAATCTTCCTCGCGCGCATTTTTATACGTATCCTTGTGCAATATAACGTTTTTTATACGCGACAAGTCGACAAGTGTCTTCATTTCTTTCTTGCATATACCTCCGTCCATACAGTCTCGCCCGCTTGACTTCTATCGAACGGGCATACATTCTTACACAACAGCACTTACAACGTACGGCCACGGATGCATATGAATACCGTGCGGCGATACGTAATAGGTTTAGTGTACAATGACATTTACATTGAGACTGGTGCAGCCGGACGTGATATGACCGATCAGTCCTTCGTGGAGGACTATACAATCGCCGGCCAAGAGGACGTCGCGCGGACATTGGGTGGTTCTGAGAGACGTCACCGGACCCGTGTACGTCAGCGAACGAAATCCCCCGTCCTCAATGCTGTCCACGGCCTGTCGTAAACCGGCCAAGCGTCATTATCAACTGTACACCTTAAGTATTAGACGCACTTGTACGTATTCGTCTTACAACGAATCGATCGCGCTCGATACCTGGATACTGCATCGAAGTCTGTCGGTGGACGCGTCGCCGACATCCAGTCCCGCCACCCAGGCGACGATCACGTCCTTCTCGCATTGACCTTCACCGCCTGCGTGCACTTCCTCACAGCAAGCGTAACGATTGCTGTGCAAACGCGCGGCTAGCACCGGCAGCGGCAGTCGATTTCGATATTTAGGGTTTATTTGATTACCACCGAATAGTCTCGCTGCTGAGTCTCTTGTTGTAGAAATTTATAGGATTAGCTGTGGGTGTATATTATACGGAGGAGTCGTAGTGTGACGTCTTTACCGGAACACTCTCCTCTTGGACTTATACACATAAGTAAGGAACTTGGACAAATACGTTTCTATATAAATATGTATGTATATGTTGAGAGCAAAAATATCTGAAAAATAGAGAAAATATTTATTCGGTGTAGGTACTAATAACACATTTATTCAAATATAAATTTCATGAAAAAAAGTTAAGGTTTTAAGAAAATATATATTTGCTTATTTGAAAAATAAGAAAAATAAATACTTTGTATTTGGAATTTATCTGATTACCTGACCTGATTGTTGTTATTAGTACAAGTTATTAATACTCACCGAATAAATGTTTTTTTTTATTTCTTAGATATTTTTTCTCTCAATGTAGGTATAAGACATCAAAAGATGTCACACTTGGTTTCGTATTTTATTGAGACGCGCGCATCGAATGCACCTATGACACAGTCTCTATTCATATAGGATGACGCACGTGATACTAACGAGAGCTTTCCGGAGACCAGTAAGAGGGCTAAGCATCGACTGGAGTTGCAAGAGAGAGCTTCGTAGCTGACGATAAGCGTGCTCTCGGCGCCGGGCTCGACGCTGAGTATGGGCACCTCGGGATGATCGAAGAGGAAATGATGGGTGAGCGCCGAGAAGGCGACATTCACCGAGCAATCCAGACGGGGACAACGTATAGGTCTGCGGGAGTAGTCGACGGATACCAGGCTCCTCGCCTTAATCTCGGCGCTGTATCGATCCGCGTCGTTCCTCCGCGTCGCCAGGTTGCAATAGCCGTGCTGCTGCTGCTGACACTGCCTTCCGCGTTCTTCCCGCGGATCGCCTCGATCGCGATCGACGACGACGTATGAGACGGCGTCCGACATCTCCGCGTCGTAATCGAGCATCTCGCTCGTCTTTGTGACAGGGCAGCTCGTCCTGTTGAAATTGGTCCACTGATCGCGACGTGGCCGCAACGGGTAGACCTGCTCAGGCGGCTGCAGGTACGTCGCGATCGGCGAGTCGTACGTCGTTCTCGAGCGTACGCGACCGCGATCATTGCTCTGGGAGAGACTGCCGTGCGATCTTCGAGGCTGAAGGTGCTCCGCGTCTGCGAGGATAGAACGTAATTTTTCCTCGAGCGATACTCGAGTATCTTTCTTTTTGTCTCTTGTATATAAACGCCAGTCACTCTTTTTAATAGAGGAAAATAATGATGACGACAATCAATCAGCGCGCGGACTCTTAGAGGTATATTCTATAAATTTTAACGACATCGTTATGTATCATTGCGCAGGTTTTTTGTATTATGAAATAACTGCGCAGCGATACATAACAATATCATTAAACATTATAGAATAGGCCTCTTAATCGATTGTCTTCACTGATTAATTATTATCGATGAATCAATTGGCGAAGATTCGGCGGACGACTTCGCGAATCAGTTATTGTAGTTATCGTGATTTGTGATAAGTGAAGTTAAGATGACCGACTTTTATTGACCTGATCGAATCGCAAACTTCCGCACGCAGCGTTGACACAGCAGATAGCCCTCGGCGCTGTACGGATTTTGTTCGGAATCAGCGATACTTCCACCGAGATTCGCGTCGTCGATAATAATATGGCAAATCGCGCATTCCCCGATTTGCTCGTTTTCCTGCTGCCTTGGTTCGCCTTCGTTCTCTCTTGCTTCGCATTTCTGCTCTTCGTTTTTTTCTTTCCTATTCCTATTTACTTTCTGTGCCTCCGCATTTTCCTCTTCGCTTTGATCTTCATCGATTTCCCGCTCTTCATCTTCTGTCTCGTCTCCTACAGCCTCGCTGGAGAGTTCTTTTCTCTCCTGCACTCTGTTATCGATATCCGAATATTTCCGACCGAGGTGTAGGTAGTCCGATCTCTAAAACGCGAATATTGTTTTCGATTTAAGTGAAAGAAGTCGCGTTAATTCAGCAGTCTTTAAAATATTCGCTTTCTTCGAGCAAATAAAACAATATTTTTGCATCAAGTACATCAGATTGATACACCAGTCGTATCATTTATCTCGAATTTATTTTATCAAAATAACTGTAACGTTTATCATAAAATTATGAATATAAATAACGCCAATTTTTGTAAAATTTACATATTCTTGTGTGTGTGCAGGAGGCATAGACCATTCTTTCTACACAAATTGCTCTCGTCAAATCGTATCTGTGACTACAATGGAATGAAAGGATTGCGTTTGCAGGAATTGGAAACCTTTGTTCTACGACTTATCTTATCAGGGAAATTTTGCGAGAGCCGCCTAAGCGTCGTTCGCGCGGTCTCGTGCGTCCGAATATCTATATCACATGCCTTGCGAAGATTATTTATCGCTTGGCTGTCGTCTCTTGCGACTCTATAATCGACCCTTTCACTCTCAGTTTCTTCGCGAAGCATCTCGCCGTTTTGTCAGCAGTGTTTATCACCCGGCGCGATAACCTTTCGTCGATGACGCGCGTCTCCGCAATCGACCTATCCTCTCACGCGACCGTTTACCCTCCGTATAATGCAAGACTGCAGTTTCCGGTGTCTGAAACTTAACTTGAGACAAACACGTGGAATATTTAAGAGTGCACTCCCTATCTTCCGATAATATTACGAGTACGAACGTTTTATGATATATATTTATAGTATAATCACGTGACATTGATTGCGCGTGTGTATCTAATGGAATAATCTTTTCTCCAAGAAAAGTTTCTTCTTCGTTAAGTAAACGGAAGTTATCTACGCGATTTTGGAATCCTCAATATTACGTTGTTGGTTTCTAATCGAGTCTTAAATTAAAATTCTATTAAAGCCTAGCTGAAATTATTTGAGAAATATAATTTTGTCATCTATATTCGCGCGCGCTCCTCTGTATTTTTCATAATTTATTACTCTCAACCATTTTGTCGAAAAAATTTCAATATCAAGATCATCAAGAAGTCTGCTATGAAATTAACGCGGGACACCCTGTATAGTAGGGAATGGTTCAACGGTCAACTTACCCGTTTCGAAGAGAGCCAATCTTCCTTCGTTGAAGATTAAAGCTACGTAGTGGAAAGCAAATATATTGTACCCACGAGACGAATTTTTTGATTTCTAAATTGACTCGCGCGACGAGAATTATTCGACGGCCGACTGACAAGTCCAATTGACGAGCGTTTGTACGCGTTCCCGATTCGCTGTAATTTAGTCTGAGGAAATTTACATTCGTCAACCAGAAAATGCTCGATACGCACGGTATTTAGATCAAAAATATGAGGCCATCTTGAACGTCTCGAAGAACAAAGAAGAAACAAGTTACGAAGATATCAGCACAACAGCGTTGCAAGAAAGTTCCATACCCCGTGCACCACGCATTATCTTTCCATGAGCTTCAGATAGCAAAATTTTCACTTTTAGTTGTTAAAGCCCGTCTGACCTATTCTTAATTTGAGTACAATTCTCTCAAATTACATTGTGGCTACAGGTACACTTTGTGTATCAGTTTTGAAAAAAAATACGACTAGTTGCAAATTCGACCTGACTTATATAACTCGGGGAAAAATAATTATATATAATTATATGAAATCATATACATATATAATTACATATAAATTATATATTATCAAAATTCACGTATAAACTTTTCTCCCGTGAATTAATGTGTGTGAGCATAAGTCTTTAAAGTATTTACAATTTTTATTATTTTAATACGTTAATAGATATATGAAAAAATTATGTAATTTTAATGCATAAAAAAATATGCAACTACAATTAAGCAATGTATAAATTCATATTATTATATCGAATAATATATATTGTATTAATAATGTATGTATTGAAAAAAAATATATAGTTTAACTTTTATAATTAAACTAATTACTGTTGTGTTGTACCATTTATTTGGATATAACGTTTCCCCGACTTATAGGTGAGTTGTACTACTTGGGACCAAACGTGTAACAATACATTATCGTTGAATGATATTGTAGGACCTGAATTCTTCGTTAATAGTAGCGACTCATAGCGGAGACTTTGGTACAAATAAAAGTAATTTAGTCAAGACTCAAACCCTACTTAATCAATACTCTAGCTATTACTTTAATTAGTTCCAAAATCTCCGCTAGAAGTTATTGCTGTTTCTAACAAAAATTTATAATCGTAATACAATTTGACAAAATGCACTTTTTTCATGTAATAGAAGTTCAGGACAGAATTTCTTTTTAAATGTAATTATTTAAACGTTAATCTTCCTCAACATTGTTTATGCAAATGTAAAATGATGAATACACATAATGGATGCTTGTTAAGAAATCTGTTTTATTAAAAAAAGCACATATTAAAAGAGCTTAGAAAATAGTAAACGACATGCCTGCTTAATTATCGATGGCAGGTGTAACGCGTAATTGTAAATAATCGCGTAGATTTGCACTTAATAAATCTATATGTCTGGATCTTTTACTGGTTCAGCTCGAGCTGTTCGGAAATCGCGTCATTGCGATCAAGTGAATTTACAAATGAGATATTATTTAGTCTGCGAATATTTATACATATGATCAATACTACAGAGTCAGGTGCTTAAAGGTCGCGAACCTTTTTTTCGAAGAAACAACACATTCACAAAAAACACGTTTTGCAACACGTCCCGTGTCCAAAGGGAAAATTTATCTCCCGGAGAATTGCTGAAAAACAGATTCTCCTATCACGAAAAACTTATCGAGAAGAAATGTTGCGACTTTTAATTATCCAACTGTGTATATGATTAATAAATCTCAATAGTATACACATAATGCGTACAACTGGCAACAGTTGTAGAAATCAATTTTACGTTTCAAATTTTTGTATAACGTTTGAAATTTGTCGCTTAAATTACAGCAACCCTGCTACAACCTTTCATTATACATGTGAGTTTCTTAACGTTATTAACAATTCTCTACTTACACGCGTCAAACATAAAATTCGTTTATCACAAGAATAACTTATCTTATCTAGCTTGTTCTTGTACTTATTTCTTAACATCGTTCGTCTTTGTCGCCAAAAGATTATCGTTGACTAATTTGTGTCTCACGTACGCTAATCTTTCCGCACTGACCGCTTGTATATCGCCCAAGCGAGAGTTATCCAGCAGCATCTTCAGATTCTGTTTACTGTCCAAGTCGATCATGCTGCAACTCTTACCTCGGATCGCCGACAATGTGGACGTTTGTCCGAAGAGCGACAATAACGGTAACTCTTTGATACTGGCGGTTTTGACAGCAAACTTCTTGACAGCTGATCGTTCGCTGAGGTGTTGTTCTGATATTTCGCTATCCGAAAAACCAGAGGATGACGTTAACGACTTCTTCAGTTTTATCGGGCTCGAGTTGGCACTGCACGATGCGCTTTTCTGCGAAATGTTACAGCTAGATCGTATTGGCAATAACGTAGCATCGTCCTGCGAATTCGTAGGTCGGCCGACACCTTCTAATGAGTTAGTTTTCGCGGGAAGAAACTCGACGTTACGAGAAGCTTGCGTGTAAGGTAAATTCGTAAGTTCTAAGTGGCTCTTACTGACTAAGTTGTCGTTTGTATTACTATAATCATCTCTTTTTTGTCTTTTATTTATGACATCGACGTCAACGTCGTTGGGAACACCGATGGTCCAGCTGCTCTGAGTTGCTTTGCCATTGACATTAAATTGAGAGATTCTGTTTGGCACGTATTTCGTCATATCTACACTCGCAGCTTTCTCCGTGATGTTCCTATTCTCGAAGTTGGACGTTCTTCTGTTCACTGGACTACTGCTCAGTGATTTGGAGGTATTGCTCTTCGAAACAACTTTCGCCGTAGGACTGCGTTGGGTCGTGATGGAGTTAGTCGTTGAGAACGATCTTTTCAAGTGCGACGACCCGTCAGTAAATGCATCTTTCTCGAGAATTGCCGAATCTTTGGTCGATCTCGGAAGTTGGCTCAAACTGTGCGCGTTCAATTGTCCAACGGATAAGAAGTCGTAGCACTCTTCGCTCACAGCACGGTCTTCAACGGTGTTCGGTAGATCGGCAGAAGTAAGTGCGTTTTCGCGCTCCTTGATGTACAATGGATTCTCGAGCGACAAGCGATTTAATTTCTCCATGCTAGCTTGCAGCTCCAACTCCCACTGCGTAAACTTGCTTTCGCTACCGTCCACAGATCTTTTGTCAAGTTTTTCCGTGTCTTCCTTCGTTAAACAAGGTTTCTAAAAAATTTCAAGAGGGAAATAGTAAAATTAGAACTCTTTATCTTATAGGCAATATTATATATGACAGTGATAAAATCGAACTAAAATGAACATAAAACGCAAGTTAAAATTAGTATGATGCGATAGAGGTAGTTGAGAAAATGGTCGTGATATTTCTACTGAAAATAAAATATTAAATAGAGAATTCAAAACATTCATGTTGTTATCGTTAAACTGACAAGCATGTTAAAGAAAGGAAAGTGACTATTAGCGCGACTATTAGTGTGACTATAAAATTGTAAGATTAGATTCAGATATATTAGACTACAAGTTAGTATTCTACTAACTTCGATATTGCGTAGTTTTTCGTTGTTTCCACTTTCATTATACCTAATGGAGGATATTTTACAATTGTCGGAAGCACTAAATTCTTTTTCACGCTTCTGACATGTATCGGAACCGATTAGCTCGGCGCCAACACCAGGTTCTCGCGGTCCATTAACCACGATATCTAAAATACAAACGTTACGTGTCAAACGGAAAGGTATATGCGCAATTCTCTCATGTATCTTATATAAAGTATATCTCTAATTACCGTAATCTCTTCGTTGCTGATGTATTTGATTACTGATATCCTCTAGTGTCCGGAGACTCGTTGCGTAGTTGCGTTTAGCTTCTTTAACAGTTTGTTGTAAGTGCTCTACTCTCTCCTTCTGCGTCGCTAGCATTTGATCACATTGAGCCTTCACTTCAAAGTACGGCCTCGCTTTTATTATCGAGCGTCGGTGCTTCTCTTCTAACTGCACTAGTTTCTTTTCAGCATCGTGAAACAGCATTGCTCTTCTATGATGTTCTCGGCCGCATTCAGCTTTTTGATTCTCTGCATCCATTACCTTAGACAAGATATCATTTTATTTTATTCCTTTATTATCATGTAACAATACTTTTATCATAGGAATCAATGATTGTCAAAGTCAATTAAGGCTCCTGGCTACTCGCCGTGGCCATCTTGATTTATGATGTTAGAAGGAAGGAATGCATGCCCAAAACTGCAAAATACATCGAAATAAAAAAATATATCCAAGAAATGATAATTACAATCGATGATTTGCAATTTTAAAATACTCCGAACATTTTTCTCTTTCTATAACAATCAATAATCGTAAAATAATCGTAAAATTAACAAAATAATAAGAAAATATATATTAAAACGGTTGCATGTTACATTAATTTCAGTTATTTATATAGATTGTTAGAGCAGAAGAAAAGTATTTGGAGTATTTTAAAGGTGTGCTTTATCAATTGCAAGTGTCATTTTTTGGATATATTCAATGTACTTTGCAGGAATTGTAGGCATGCATTTTTTCATTTTTCTGACATCATAAGTCAAGATGGCCGCGGGAAGTAACCAGCAGCCTCAACATGTGATGCAATTAAAGTGGTAGGCCAACATAAATTACGTCAAAACATTTCTGGTTTTAAAATGTTTTATCACTTTGAAGAGGATTGCTATTGAACGCGTAACGTGATTACCGCGTACGCGCGCCGTGCGTTCTACTCTGATGCTTACTTTAATAGTAGCATGATTGAGCATATCCTGCCATGCCTGGTCGAAATTCCACTCATGCTGGTGCGACATGAATCGCGCTTCGGCCAGAGCGACTGTTTCCTTCGCGGCCGCGTGAATTTCGCTGGCTCGTTGAAATAGTTGTGCCTGCTGTTGACATTGCACCTGCAAATTACGTGAAATATTGCACTATTTTACTTAAACAACAATTCATATAGATGCAACAATGATAATTATATCTGATATACCAGAGTTTAATAACTATAGTTATTAAAAAATTATTATTATATGTTAAATCTCCAATACATATACATATGGAATATATATTTAATATTATAATAATTATAATGTATTATAATAAAAATACTTTAATAACAGTAAGCTCTTATATATTATATATGGTATATAATTATATCTGGTATATGAGAGTTTAATAACTATAGTTATTAAAAAATTGTTATATGTAAATCTCCAATACATATACATATTTAATATTATAATAATTATAATGTATTATAATAAAAATACTTTAATAACAGTAAGCTCTTATATACCAAATATGATTATCATTATGGTTTTTATTTAGAGCCATTTCATATCTTATTGCTCATATATATACAATTTAAACTGAATAATGAAAAATTATTACAATATTAACTGATAAAATACAAAAAGACATTCATCAATCATGAATGACTATGAATATTTTCAAATAATATTGAATATATATATGTGTAAAGAGACAATAGATTGCACATATTTGCTTGATATCTTTATATAAGAAATTCTGTATTTTTCATTATTTTTAATTTATTATTATCTAAGAAATTTTAAATATCAAGTTGGGATCTAATTCGAATAGGTTTAAATAAGTACCTGAGCTTGACGAGCCATCTCCAATGCTTCGTAATAACATCTTGCTTTCTCAATACAACTAGTGCCTAACTTATCAGTGATTTCTTTCAGCCGTCTTGTCGTGTCAGAAAGAAGCTGCCTAAAAGCAGTGTGAGCTTCCTAAAAATGAATCATAATTAAATTATGTTGCAAAATAAACTTTATTTGAACATATTATTTATCTTTATACAATTTGTATATATATATATTTCTTACATCCAATTCAGTTTCCAGCTTATTAATATCATCTGTTGCATTGTTTAAGTTCTCCAACTCAATCTAAAATATAAAAATTTGTATTATAACTTTCATGTATCATATTATCTCATATTTTGTATACTTGTTTTCTTTTTTACTTGTTCATATTTTATACACAATTTATAATAATTACAAATTTAGCATAAATTCTTTCTTTGTATTTATTCATGAATAACATTGTATACCTGAATCATTATCACGTCTCAAGTGTCGGTATTCAACTTAATCTAAAGAGTGTTATCTCCCAAGGATAATTATTTCCTTTCTTCAACCATAAAATATTTAAAAACGAGAAATATACTTTGGCACGCACATACAACATAAAAATCAAAGAACAATATTGTCAGCTAAATAACTTCATTATCTTTTATTTTAAACGTGACACACGTTAAAATATAGTAAGAAAGAAGAATACTATCTGGCTGCACACACACATACACACACACGCACACATATGTAAAGCAGATGTTGCATTAAATCATCTCTCCACACAATAAATCGCCTAAAGGATACGTTGCCTCAAGAAAGGCGCGATCAATGATCTCTCATGATCTTCGAGCGCATCTAGTTCCTACACGCGAGGTGGAAGGAAAGTGAAAGCGAAGTGGGACAGTGTACCAGGCAGTGTTAGGCACTGCGGCCGTTCGCCAAACAGCGAGCCGACAAAGAAACATAACCTAAAGACGCAGCTGTAAAACTCGCGCGCAAACGACCAACAAAGAAATTTCGCTGCGACCCGACGAGCGATCAAGACCCGGAGGTAGTCCGACATGTCACGAATTATTACCTGTATGCGCGGGTCTAACGCGCTCTCGGCGTCCTCCGCGATGTCCATTCTTTGGCTGATGCGGCGTTTGCTGCGCCGTCAAGCGATGTCAACTCATGATCGCCGTCGGCCCAACGCTGCGAATCCTCACGAGACTTCGCGTGGCACTTCCTAGTGCATCCTCAAGCGTGACGATGCGCCACTGCAAAGCTACTTGTGTTTACGTCTCGAGACATCTCGGCTCCTCCTCGAATGTTATTTAGAGCACCCGAGCGACGAACATAGCCTCACGACGACTCCGAGGATCTCAGCAGATCTCAGATAGGAGGGTGAGGAGAGCGAAACCACTGTGGACGAACAACAACGACACGTACCGAGACTATCTACGGAGATAAATGTCGCCGACTAGATCGCTGACGCATCTCGATGATGCGTCTACACCCGCATCACCGGCACTTACTGCAACGCCTTCCCCCATTGGACTGTCCCAGTCTTTCCGATAGAACCGCGACTGAACTGGCTGTTGCGCGACGACCATTCGAATTTCGCGCGTATCGAGGTGTGACGTCATATTCTCAATCGATAATCTCACTTATCGATTATCGCCTGGGTTCAAATTCGCAGGAAAGTTCACGGTTCACAGTAAAGAGTTCTAACCGCCGTGATATGAGGACGTGTTCGAGCCTGTTAGAACGTGTGACCTGTGACTTTTTGGGATATACTTTGGATTACTTTCAAAAGTTATCAAATTTCAGTGGCGTGGCGGGAATACGCTTTATCAGGGGCCTGGAATCATTGAGAGGAAGAGAGAGAGAGAGAGAGCTTATTCGAATTGCCGGGCTAACCATTTTGATGTTGTTGCTTCAGCTTGCATGATGGTAAGGTAAATGTTCCCAATGACTGAACTAATAAGAAAACACGGTTAGTTTCGCATTTCTATTAATAAATAATTGATGACATTACTGATAGAAGTAACGGACAAAAGTAATAGACAAAAGTAAATGTTTCAATCATTGGGACATTGATCAATTACTAGAACACTTTTCCTAAGTTTTTATTTAGCAAATATGTATATGTATATAGGACAAGAAATATCACAAGTCTGAGTTTCACTTTGCAAGATTCACTCATTTGATAGATATATATTTAAGAGATTTGCTTAAGAGTTTTATATGCAATCCATTTACATAATATATATCTGGAAGAACAGCATCAACATGCAGTGTAGTGAGATTATTTTTAATTTAGTATCTTCTATCTACACCCTCAAGCAGATCTACACATCATATATAATGTCAAGAAACAATTCTCCTGTTTCTAGACATTAAGCTGTCATAAAGTTGTCATAAAGCTGTCATAAAGCTGTCACAATAACAGTTCTGACACAGCATTTTCACTCCTTTGAATAATCAACAAATAATCAGTGGTATGATGAAAAGATCCTCCCAACTTAGTTACGCTATGTGCTAAATTACATTTGTTTGTCACAAAAAAATTTAGGAATATAAATAGAAATATTTATTTACTATCTTTTCTTGTCGTTACAATACATTCATGAATTGCGAGTGAGTGAGAGAGAGAGAGAGAGAGAGATTTGTAATATACGCGAAAGAGATAAAATATGAATCAGGACACCTTTCTTCCTCTCTCACATACCAGCTCTTTCTCTTTCTGTACAGAAATATATGACGCGGAGATCGCGACATCTGGCACGAAGCTCGCGCACTAACGACAACATCGAATACGTGGGTACGCACGGCGAGGCAGCCAGTGACCAACAAGCATGGCGATTGCCAAGTAACAACGTTCCGCGCCGTAACCAAGTGTGTGCCTTAAGATTGTTGAATGTTACCCCGTCGCCGTCACCACCGTGCGTCACGCGCCCGCTACGACTCGGCGAGCCCATTTTCTACGATTTTCTACAAGTAGTGATCTAGAACCGGTGAGCGCAACTTCTCTCAGAGCAGGCTCGGGACAGAGGAGCTGCAGCTCTGGTGCATCGGCACGATAGTTCGTCGCGGTGAGTCACAGAAGCCATGCACGTAAACCAACCTAATTGACAGCAGAAATAGCGCTCAATTGTCACGTATCTGGCCTGATTAGCGGTCGCGCGACTATAAGCAACTAGCCGTTAGTCGATCGTTGTTCGTCGAGCTTGCTTTCGCACCGCAGTATCTGTATCTTTACGCGAAGATATAACTCTGTTACCGAATATCTTAACCTTCTCTAATTTTGCTTTCTTTCTTACTGTCGGGACTGGAGCATTCGTGAACAATTTCGTGCGAAAGTCGGCACGGTCGGGTACTTGGGAACTTCTTAAATCGCGTCCAAATTTCGTATCGTTAAAGTACACTATTATCGAATACGTCATGTCGCGATATCTATAATATCCTCTTGGCGGCATTATTATGATAAATAAAGTGACATTGTGATAGGCATAATGCAATTTCCAATGGAGTTTAATGAATCAATGTTATATAGCTCCTGTATTTTCAGAATAGCAGACCATTGCTACAAAAATGCCTACACAGATGACAGACAACGATGACATTCGAGTGAAAATTATATACAATGGGTAATTCACATATTGCTAAAACTATTACAATTTGCAAAATAATCTTCTCACGAATATCTCAGTGTTTGCATTTATTTTGTATATCACAAGAGTCATACTCTACATATTTTATATTATTATTTCACATAATATTCAATATTATTTTTATTCGCTAATGATTAAAGATTACATCAATATTCAATATAAAATATTTGATAATAAATATACTGTGTACAAACAATGTTCAACATAAAACTTGATAAAGCTTACAAAGGTAAATGTCCCAATATATATAGTTGAGTAATATCTCAATATGATTGAGATATTAATAATATACATGTATTTATTTTCCTTTAAAAAAGCCTTTGAAATTAAAAGGTTTAAAATGTATTAAAATGTATTAAAAAATATTTATATGTATATGCACTAATTTTTGTAATATTATCTAATGAGTGTTTAATCACTGAGTCTATATTATTTGGTAATTAAAACAATTCATTTTTCAATTCAATTATTAGTGCAACTCGCATATATATCATTAAAATTATATATATAATTGATATTTATTATTTTATTTCCGAGATTATTTTATTATTTATACCCAGATCACGCACTGAACGTTATTTTTGTTAGCCATTGATTATTTATTTATAAAAATATAAAACTGATCGTGCTTTCTTATTAGTTCAGTTATTGGGATGTTTACTTTACGCCAAACCAGGAGTGTGTAACGTAACTTTCTCACAGCTAATAACTTATGTAATTTTCTCACATTAGGGAGGTGCAAATCACATACATCACCGCTGGGATCTCAGTGGACACGTTGCGTGAGGAAATGCGAACAATATGTGGCTTCGACATGCGACCAGAGTCGCAGTTCACCATGAAATGGGTGGACGACGAGGGCGACCCGTGCAGAATCGCCTCACAGCAGGAGCTGGATGAAGCGCTGAGGCTGTACGAGCTCGAGAAGGATACAGAAATAACGATACACGGTTAGTACGTATGTAAATGTCGATCCCATAGTCGTCTTGTGTACTGTTCCTATTTAGGATGACGCACAACGACGCACGATCGTGTGCATTAATAGTTGAAGGACTACGCGTTGCGTCCGATCAATTTCTTGCATGTTAGACGCTTATATAACTGGAAAATGGCGCACCGTGCCTCGCGAATCGTGTATGCGGCGCATGTAACGGTTGGTGTTAGTTTGATCAACGGAGGCATACGCGATGAATTAATTTCCGGTAACGCGTGCGTCCAGTCGGTGCACTCCCAGCATTTCGTTAATCGCGTCGTTGCTTCGACTAGGAGTCGTCTATATGCTCTGTTGAGGTGAGAATGCAACGTGTCATGAAATGAACATTGACAGATCCATCTTGGATGAGTATAACATACAATTAACACACGATTAACACGCAATTGACAATAATATATGTATATATTAACGTCCCAGATAGCGAAAAATTCTACAGAAGCAGATTTTATGCAGTAAATTTTGTCTGCTGTAAATTTTGTCTGCAGCTTGATAGCAGAGATACAATAGGATCTGCTAGCAGAGAGTGCTATGATGATAGATTAACGGCAAAAACCAAGTAGAATCTATTGCGCGTTCTGTAATCATTTAAATGTATTTAAATGCATTAAAATATATTTAAAACATACTGCAGATACTGCTCGGCTTTTGCCGCCAATCCGCTGCAAATTATGTCAACATGCTTTGCCGACGGAACATAAGCTTGCTCTGTTGCGGACACAAATAGCTATGTATCTGCTACGGTAGTCTGATCAAATCTGCCGCCAATCTGTCGGTATACCGCTAACATTTTTCTTATTAGGGTGTAATATACTTCCATATAATCGCAGTATTGAGCATGCACTTTCAGCAGTGATGCATCTTCGGCGTATCAGTCTACGGCGACACTCACCTTATCGATAATTTGGCGATACGATTAGTTGGTTATCAGCGCCGTATTGAGTTCTGCGCAAAATACTTTCATGCACATTGATCGATTTATCAATCGCGACGCTACGAGAGATGAGATAGCATTCTCAGATCGCGCGTGTGTCTATATTCACGAGGATTGTGCAGTCATGCGGAACGTGACATGCTTGGTGAATTCATCTAGCCTGGGATACACCTCTGAGATAACTCCATATAGGTCTCATTTGCGTGATAGTAGGGTACTTCTTAGAAAACAGCGTGTCGTGCTCGTGCATACATTTCCGGTGCAGGAGATTCGACTCGCGCTTTTGCCTTTTGCTCTTCTTTGCGCGACTTGAAATCCTTTGACGAACATACGCGGAACAAACTCTTTGAGCTTTAATGATCGAAATTTCTTGAAAAGATGTAAGGCTTGATCATGTTTTCTAAGCCTTGAGCAATTACACGAAGAAAAGATTTGGTTATATTAACGTGTGAAATTTGGTCTTAATGAACGTACTGATACGTATTGATCGAAGGACACAAGATTTATGGTTCTCATAGCCCAAATTTGGTTCCAAGAACTAGAAATTCCGATTCCTTCAACTAAAATGTGTTCATTCATTATAATCAAAATTCACGTTAATACAGCTAAACGTTTCTCCTTCATGTAAAAATAAATTTCATATTGAGGAAACTGGAAATAAATTTCATATTGAGGAAACTCTAATTCAACGTACAAAGAAGAATTAAACATCGAGTGAATTTAATGTAAAGGATAAATTTAACGATTTAGAGCGTGAGCAGCATCGAACTTTGAGAAATACCGACCACTAACAGCGACTACTAACAAGTTCCCATAGGTAACATCGAAACAACAAGAAAATATCCGGAGAAGATAAACCTTTCACCTTGTTGAAATCACTCGGGCTCATACAGACGGAGACTTTCATATCGAATATATTGTTTCCCCCATATTGCTCTCGTTAAATGTGCACCCTTTTTCTGGAGACCCCAACGAGGTTCCATTGTGAAACTCAATAACGATTTTGCAATGGAAATTAACGGAAGGCGCAGTACGGCCGGTTTTACCCGATACGTAAAGTCAGGCATCATCGCGCAATATCGACAGTAGAGTCTCGGTTTCTCGATGTACGTAACGCGTCAGCCTTTGTAAACCTATACGATCGCACACGTGTGTTCGACAACAGCTGCGGCAGCAGCAGCAGCAGTAGCAGCGACCACGGCGGCGATAGGTAACAATGATACTGCATGTTATAACGGAAAAACAAGGAATAATCAACGAGACGGACGAAGGACGCGAGAAGAAAATACAAGGCGACGAGTTGAGAGGTGGGCGCGAGGAAGGACTGCACAAAGCTCGGCGAGAGATACAGAAGAAAATCCAGTAGAAAATAAAGTGGAACAGAGCGGTGTCTGCCACGTTGCTCCGGGACGAAATTACCCGTAGAACTCTCTGCAAGAACGGGAAAACGCGGAACACTCTTTGACAGAGGTGAAATTGAGTTAACGAGGAAAGCGCGGGCACCGGCTAACGTAATATAAGTCGACAAAGCGAAGTTAGCGCGAAGACGGTGAGATCAGGAAGAAGAATCGCTGGATGATCAGCGCTGAAACTGCAAAAGCATAAGAAAAAAAGAAAGAAAAGAAGGATTGACGGAGCTGTGTAGGAACAGAGGTAGAGCTTGGGAGAGGCAGAACGTTGTGGGTGGATACAGGCGGGATATAGGACCGGTCGACGGCGTGGAGACGACGGAGGATGGTATATCGCTTCCACCTCGGCGTGATCCGCGTTTGCGCGATTCGGTCGGTAGCGCGCGCCGGGCGGCGGCGGCGGCGGCGGCGGCGGCGGCGGCGGCGACGGCGGCGGCAGCGGCGACGACGACGACGGCGGCGGTGGTGGCGGCGGCAGCGGCGGTTAACGCATCTCACCGCGGTAGTCGATATCCTTGCACGGGCCGATCAGCAAGGGCAACAACGTCACGTCACGTCGCACTACCGTCGCGCCTGGTCGTGTCGTGAGATCGCGATTCGGGTTGGTTCGCCGAAGTCGAGGGAGGAAGTGTCGATCGCGGACGAGAGAGAAGTTGTGTCAGAAGAGGCCTAGTTACCGGGGAGAGAGAGATAGAGAGAGAGAGAGAGAGAGAGAAGCCTCCTCGACACGGACCTTCGACAGGTCGTTAGCTGCGAAGGAGTTGCGTCATCGTGTCGGTAGACAAGTAGTAGTATTCGCGATAGTCGTCGGCGCGCTTGGCTCGACACTCGGCAAGTAGAGAGAGGTCGCAAAAGAGGCGGTAAACTAGCATCGATCGAGCTGGTGATTCGTCGTCGCATGCTCATCCCGGCTCCTGCAAGAGGTCGACCGCGGTGGTGAAGGAGACCAAGAGAGAGAGAGAGAGAGAGAAAGAGAGAAAAAGAGACACAGGGAGAGAAAGAGAGAATAGACGAGGAAGAAAGAAAGAAAGAGGGCAAGGCGTAAGTTGACGGAAAAGAGAGAGACGGGGTAGAGACGACAAACGGCGGGGCAGGAAATCGGTAGAGAGAAAGAGAGAGAGAGCGCGAAAACAGAGAGGCGCGGCGCTACGAGGCGAGGTGAGGCGATCTCGCGCGGGTGGAGCGATAAAGGATACACACACCGGTGCGATAGAGGTAGGCGAGGCAAGCACGGCTAAATTCGCCGCTACAGAATGGCGTGGGGCTACTGGAGCGCAACTTCCGTCAGCGACCGGGGTCGGTCACCTCGTCGCGAGAAGGACAAACAACAGCAGCAACATCAGAGCCTACATCAGCACCAACAGCAGCAATCACAACAAGTGTATCAAACGCAGTCGGATCTGTCGCAGAGCACTTACGGCGTGCAGCAGGGAGAGCTCGCAGCCGTTCCCGGCTGCGCGGTCGCGGTGGTGGAGGAACCACCCTGCAGCATGATGATCCAGGGTGGTTCCTTCTACTCGTACTCGGCGGCAACAGCGGCGGCCGCGGCCGTAGCCAGCCGTCGCATCACCACCGGCGTCGAGGGCGGCCCGTCGTCCTCCGCTACGTCCACCGGCATCCAGGTGTTGCCCCGCGAACGACACATAAGACCCGGCACGAGCGCGTACGCGCCACAGTCGCCGGGTAGCGGCGACTCCGCCGAATATGAGCAGCCTATCGTGACCAGTGGCATCCGCGGCGAGATCTCGCCACCTCGTGGTGGTACGCCGCACGACGACATTTTCGCGCAGCCTAGCACCTCGTCGTCCATCAGGCCGAAACCGCCGCTACCGTGTGATCCCGAGGGCATGGAAGACCTGCCCGACGTTGAGCTCGAAGAGGTGCACCACAACGCCGAGCTGATATACGCCAGTCGCGGATTAGGGACTACGACGTGCCGCGTGCACGGCCCGTGTAATCCACCGCCGGAACCCGCCCCCTCGATGACGTCGCTGCTGGATGAACACGCGGGTTCGTCGCAGTTCCAGTTCAACGAGATCACCTGGGGTAGGTGAATCGTCACTTGTCGTCGTCGTCGTCGTCGTCGTCGTCGATGACGCGACGACGACGACGACGACGACGAAGACAACAAAATCGACCGTCGACGATGACGGACGGTCTCAGGCTGTTTCTCAGGGCGAGTCTGGTCCCGCGGGAGTGCCCTTCGCGCGACCAGCTTCACCCCCGCTAATCCTCCCCGCTAACTCACCCTCGCCCCTCCGTACTCGTCGTATTTCTTTAATGCGGCGCGCGCGCGTGATCTAGGTCAAAGTCTGGCTTGCCAGATAACGTTTTTGTGTGTATCCGCCTTCGGTGCACATTCCTAGCGACGCCCGACGCACGCTCTTGGAAAAACGCGCGCCTGCCTCGGAGGAAAGCCACCTCGACGGCGACGTTTATTAACGCGGATGTTCGCCGCCACCGCGTCTGGCCGGCTTTGGTATTGTTGACAGCTGACGACGACGACGACGACGACAATCTGGAGATCGTAGGCGACATTTAGCGCATTGCAGTAATATAAAACTCCCTAAGTCGGTCACGTGAATTAATTATCGCGACTAAGTTCTGGCTAGAATAAGACGGCGGAGAGATTGGTGATTGTAGTCGAGTCGTTTGCTTCCAGTACACCCTTTTGTCCACGTCGAGTACTTAACACTCGGTTGACCGAGGGAGGCTTCCTTCGTTGCTTCTCAATTAACGTAACACGCTTTGTTCCACGGCGCTGCAACTAACGACGCAATTTGACGCATTGCTACATTCGCCACCCTTCTCATTTGAGCGATCGAGCCATTTCTCCCAATACGATACAATTACGAATGAGCCGCACAATTAAAAGATTCATCGACTTGTTAAGACGAAAAAGAGCAAGGAGAAGAACCGCGTATTGTTTACAAGCTTTCGAAATATATCGCGGCGCGAACGGCGCTAATGCTCCTTTATTTACAACACGTTGAAGCGCAATAAAGGCGATTCATTATCGCGGTATTGCGCGTCGACGATAAATATTATCTCTTTCTCCTGTAACTCGCCATTTTATCGGCAAGTGTGACGAATGTCGTTGCTCGACATACTCAACACGGGAACGTGAGTTCTTCCGCGTATCACACGACGATCCGGTTACGCGCGTCCACCAACAAACTTTGAAGTACAATTATTCGTCATCTCCCTACTTTCGCATATGCGCCGGGGTGCACTTACGTACCTGCCACTATAGATCGTGCTTCTAGGGTACACGCTGCGTTTACGTGCATCCCCATACCTCGTTGCACCGTGGGGGAGCATATCGTATCGTCTTTATCGTTCGTGTCATCGATCCCCCGCGATAATTAGTCCATGAATATTTCAAGAAATTGCTCGCGCTCGCTGCCTCTCTCTTCTTATCTCCCTCTCTCTCTTTCTCTCTCTCTCTCTCTCTCTCTCTCTCTCTCTCTCTCTCTCTCTTCTGTACACGCCCTGTACCCTGCATCATTGATATGTGTCTGCGGTGAGCCGCGGTCTCGTAACGAACGATTTGATTACGTACCGAGAGCGCCGTGTTGGCCTCGTTTAGCTAACCCGCCGTTGCGATCATATGACACGCGTCGTTGTCTCCACGCAATATACGCGTCCAAGCGGCACTTTCGCAACCGAACGTACATGTATATAAACTTCGCGTCCCGCTGCGCGGGGCAACTTGAACGCGGAGGGTGAGTCGTGGTGAGATGATCTCACGTCTTTCTCGACCAGCGCATTTCTTCCTCGCCGGTGGCTAATGAATCAAAGCACTGTTAACACGTTGCCAAGTGCCGACTTGTTTTCAATCGCTTTTCTTCATCGTGCGACAAATCTTATTCTCTCTCTGAATATTCCTTCGCCTTTGCGATTTCTAACGAATGCTCTCTCCCTGGTACTTTGTAGCCATTGTCCGTGAACAACTGCATTCATCGAGTGCCAGCATCGCCACAAGGGGTCTATTTCGAAGTTCGGCAAAAAGTCGGCAGTTTTATCTGTGGTCGAGCACGTGCCCACGGACAAAAACCCTTTATATTCGGCAGCTTCGTGTAACCTTCGGCGTCGTTTCAGTCACAGGCACCTTGGCCACTCCAGCCTCCTCCTCCTCGAATCGCCGTCGTGGGATACGATGCGCCAGTCGTGTCCGACTTAGCCGCGTCTGGATAGCCGCTTTAAAGCGTTTAAAGCGAATAATCCAGGGCAATTCGCGGCTTTAATCTTTATTCCAGCCATCAGCTGTGTCCGTGTGCCGGCCGGTTTCTTCCCCAGATTCTGGGCGGTGTGAAGCGCATTATCCACCCGCGACACGCGACGCAATATACTTACTTATATTTAATCTCCGTCCCATTATACGAGCCCGGCCCGGAATTGTTCTGATAAAGGGCAAGGCTCGTATCGCGTTGTATTCTTGCTAATCACAATTTATACCACGTTCGTGACCGTAGGAAGGGATTAAGCGGCGCGCGGTAATGCGCGATTATGAGCGTCAGCGCGAGAATCATGACCGGCTGTTTTTCGGCGTAGCTCCCACAGCCCCGCGTGGGTTTCCTCCGGACCACCCGATGACTGGGTTTTATCGTCGCGCGGGGAAATTTAATCGAACACCGCGGCACACACCGAGGAGAAGCCGGCGGCCACCTATCGTCTCGCGTCTATTTGCGACGTGTGCCGCTGTTTGCGTGCCTCATTCGCGAACACAGCGGCGGCGATAAGTTGATAACGCGCCTCGATGCCTCGACTAGAACTCAGTGTTACTCGTTATCTGGTTGTGAGCGGTAACCTATCGCGATACCGCGGTAGGATAGTACGAAACGATAGCGATATGTTGGACAACGAACAGCGGCTCTCGTTCGGGTTCCTGTACGGGGACTGCTTCTTCTGTAAGTCGAAGTACTCGAGCCACGATCTCGCCACATCGTCGCGCCGATCCCGACGTGCTACTTCCGGCGGTTGCCTCAAGATAAATCCGGATGAGCGCGATGTCGATTGATCACCGTCATCTCGAGGACGCGGCTCTTAGATCGTTGACGGTTATGTTGCTAAAAAGTATGACTCTGTAACATCTTTTGGACTAAGTCATGGACGTGTGCCTTCGAGAATCTACTTTCAATCGTTCGTGTGATTTTACTCGAGAGAAAGAGTCTCGTCTCGCTGTGAATAACAATATAATCTTTCTGCACAGATGTCATTGTTATCGTCACATTTAAATTTCTCCTTGCGCTTTGACTTGGTCCAAAAGTGCGATGTTAAAGCTCACGGCGGTGTGAGAAATAGAAATGATTATTTAAGCGGTCGCTGAGAACCGCGCAAGTTTGCGTTCCACCGAGTGCCCGGAATTCTGCTTCTGCGAGCAGAAAGCCGGAGAGCATTTCTTTCGTCACAAAGTGAACGTTGAATTTTTCTCTTCTGTTACAGTTTTTCCAAACGTGCCGCCCGCACCTGGGATGCCTTGTCAGGGAGAAGACAGTGAGTGTGTTTACCGTTCATTGGAAACGTCGCAAGCCGATTCGCGCAGACCGCTTGCGCTCGATATATAGCCAATTGCGTACTAGCCAGCGAGTTCTAATTAACCGGCCGGTGGAAAGAAACGATTTAGCGTGCGATAACAGAAGACGCGTCTCGCGCTCGCTCCGTTTACGAGAGAAACAGAGGCGCGCAGGGAAACGTCCGTTCTCTTTCTCTCTATCTCTTATTCTCTTTCTCACTCTGGACACCCTGCCCAAGCTCTCCCCTTGGATACGTCAATCGAAACCATCACAATCATCATGACATCAACGCCTGCGCCAGATCTCAAAGTAGTCTTAGAGCACATTCGAACTTCTCACGGTGTACACGTAAGGGAGAAAAATGTGCCGAAATCGTCTCTCCTAAATAGTAATAATATTCATCAATCATATCTGATTTTTAAAAATTTTTGTCACGCGCACAAAATAAAATGCAATCTGAGATTTCTTGTTTATATCTCTCATTGCTCATTTATTCCTCACTTTTATCGTCAGATGTTCATATTCGATAATAATAAAGAAATTGATGAGATACGATTTCGGCGATTCTCCTCCCCTGTACTCCACTCGCAATTGTCAATGTCGCGCGACGAGCTGAGAAATCGAAACTACGTTATACACAACATTCCGTTGCCTCGAGTCGACTTGACCCTTTTGATTTAACGGAGTCCTTTGTTTTCAAACACCTAGCTTCTCTCTCGCGCGCGCGCTAGTGTCGAGTCCTCAGATCGCTGTTGTCGTCCGTCGAAGCGCACACGTTCGGCTCACGTGTGCGTGAGCAACATGGAGCTAATCAGGCCAGTCTTGCTCTTGCTGAAAATATTTTCGCGCGGTAACTCTTGGTAAAAATTTGTGAAATATTTTCGCGCGGAAAGGGAGAAAATAACGTATTGCCATCCCGGGGCGCGCGTTTTCACCGGCGGCATAGTAGTGCACGGCACGCGAATCTATCTCGTTGTTGTTGTGCTGTCGATTTGCTTCGTTCGCCCAAAGCCGCGCGTCGTTCGATCACACGTCGAGGTCGCGATCGGGACGAAAGGAGAGAGGAAATGGTGGTGCGAAATCAATCCGCCAAATAGCTCGCGATGTTCGGCGGCGAAACTTTATGATTTGTCTTCCTGGATGTGTACACGAGCTGATATCGGAAGTTTTAACGATGGATAGTTACTGTTACTCGCTTCGCGAAATTGTGCGAATGTTCTCTATAATTAAAATCGAACGGAACCATTTATTTCTCGTGCCTAGGAATATATGGAAAGAGAGAGAAAAAAAGAGTGCAAGTAATACCTGCGCCGTTGAGCATCTCGATGATCTCTCGTCCAGCAATTCGTTACCACCACTTTGTCAGCGTATTAGTGAAAAGATAGCTGAATGAGTCGCAAGGGAGCATTGCGTCGGGATGATCGCGTATATGTGTTAAAAGCCGCGTTATTATTCATCGTCGCTTGGCACGGTCGTGGGAGTCGCGGCGAGCCGATCGATCAGCTGGAGCTTTCCATCATTTGTGACATTTATGTTATTTCATTTTCCGAAGGAAGCATCTACAGACGTGGCGCTCGTAGATGGAGGAAGCTGTACCGAGTGAACGGCCATATTTTTCAGGCGAAACGATTCAATCGGGTAAGCATCATATTCATTTAATTATCATTACCAGCCTTACTTTACTCATCAGCTTCCCCCCGCGCCCTCTCTCACCACCCTCCTCCCACACAGAGACTTTGTCCCGCGAAGATAGACAGGTTCGCAGGTGCGACGCGGCACCGTGTAAGAGGCGACGTTGTGTCTCTCGTAGAGCACTTCCAACACTGAAACTTGCTGGCTAGTGACTTCGTCGTCGACGAGGAGCAGACTGCTGTCTGTGCTTTGCTGGAGGCGCAAAGCCATCCGTACGAAACACACGTGAAACACACGTATGAACCCTCTTTCTCCGTTGCTTCGCGCGCAATCTTCCCGTCTCCTTCATCCTCTTCCTTTATGTCTTAGAACTGAATCTCGCCCTCCTTCTGGAAACAGCATTTTGCGTTTAAAGCAGGCTTAAACTTAACTACCGTCTCTCTCTATCTGGAGCACTTCGCGACTCCGAGCTGCCGTGGAGTTGTTACTCTGTTGCGCCAACACGCTGATACTACAGCGTTATGTCGCGTCGAGCAACTTCGGCGCGCCTGGTTGATCTTTAATTTGGCATGGCAAGCTGCGGAGCGTCGCGTGTTGAGCAATAAGGCTTTACTGTGCGAATTTTCATCCCGCGGCGCCCCAGGACATCTCCGGCGCGTCATCGTATGAGAAGTAAATGGTTAACGTCCTTCGACGATTGCTTCGCAGAGAGCCTTTTGCGCCTTTTGCCAAGATCGGATCTGGGGTCTCGGGCGGCAGGGATTCAAATGCATCCAGTGCAAGTTACTCGTGCACAAAAAATGTCACAAAGTGGTGAGGAAGCCATGCCTGAGCCTACAGCAGCAACAGCAGCAGCAATTGCAGAGCGCAGAGTCGCAGACGATCGACAGGAATGGCGACCAGCAGCTTGATTCGTTCCCATGCGTTACAACGACCCATCTCGAAGATGAGATTACGGAGTCGCCGATCATAGAGGAGCATCCGCGCGATCGTAAGATAACACCTTAATACACGTTTGTACACGCGTTTCAGGATAAAATGCTTTTCGTTGTAAAAATAGTGTAGTCAAAGTCCGTGAATTGTATATTTAACGTTTTGCGATACATAACTAATCGTCAGTCAATCTACTTCAATTAGATTTATTTTTATTTATTTTCAATTAGACTTATCTTCACTAGGCTTATTTTCAATCAGACTTATCTCTTCACTCAACTTACTTTCAGTCAGACACCGCGTGTAATTAGAGACTTCTGACCACATATACATCAAAGTATATTTAATTCTTGTTTCTCGCACTTGTTTTTCGCACTTTATGTTAGATAATATATCGTATCTCTTTTCGGACAGTTTCATTTAAGAAATAACGCCGCATTGTTCTTTTTATTTCGCAGGGATGGGAAGTGAGGAAGGGGAGGAATTGCCATTAGATCCGTTGAACGACGGCGATAATTCCAATGACATGCAACGTCAGTATTCGTTGAACGACTTTGAGTTAATTAAGGTGATCGGCCGTGGTTCCTACGCGAAGGTCTTGATGGTGGAGCTCAAACGCACCAAGAGGATTTATGCTATGAAGGTGATCAAGAAGGCCCTAGTGACGGACGACGAGGACATTGATTGGGTGCAGACGGAGAAACATGTGTTCGAGACGGCCTCGAATCATCCCTTCCTAGTGGGCCTGCACTCCTGCTTCCAAACACCCTCGCGTCTGTTCTTTGTAATAGAATTCGTCCGTGGCGGTGATCTCATGTTTCACATGCAAAGACAACGCCGTCTTCCCGAGGATCATGCGCGATTTTACGTAGCCGAGATTAGTCTTGCCTTGAATTTCTTACACGAAAAGGGTAAGAGACTCTTACTTTCTTTTATATAAACACGCTGATAATTTATCGAATTAAAAATCATTTATAAACATTTAGTATTAATTTCATATATAATTTAGAAGATTAAAGGCGCATTCAAACGTGAAATGTATTCCCTTTCAGGAATCATTTATAGGGATTTGAAATTGGACAATGTACTGCTGGACCATGAAGGACACGTGAAGCTCACGGATTATGGAATGTGCAAAGAGGGTATCAGAGAAGGTGATAACACGGGCACTTTCTGCGGTACTCCTAATTATATCGCTCCCGAGATACTCCGTGGCGAGGAATACAGTTTCTCGGTGGACTGGTGGGCCCTGGGTGTTTTGTTGTATGAGATGTTGGCTGGTCGTAGTCCCTTTGACATTACCGGCGCATCCGAGAATCCAGATCAAAACACCGAAGATTTCCTCTTTCAAGTTATTTTGGAGAAGACTATACGTATACCGCGTTCGTTGTCCGTTAAGGCAGCGTCTGTTCTTAAAGGATTTCTTTGTAAAGATCCCGCAGAAAGGCTAGGTTGCGGGAAGAGGCCTTCCGGTTTTTACGACATTGTCGGCCATCCTTTCTTCAAAGCAATTGATTGGGAAATGGTAAATTCCTCGTCGTGATGTAGATACAGTTTTCTAAATTTGTCACTTTATCGATGATTTCGTTGACTTCACAGTTGGAGCAAAAGCAGGTTACGCCGCCTTACAAGCCACGCTTGGATTCCGATCGTGATCTGGCAAATTTCCCGCCCGAATTTACGGATGAGCCTGTGCATTTAACTCCGGATGATCCGTAAGTTATTTTTCAAATTTATATATAATTCTAGCGAGCTCGATTAATTTTCGGCAGATTTTGGCATACTTGCATAACTCTAAGATGCTTTGTACATTAACACATTTATTGTGTTGTGAAGTAAACGTCGCGCGTAATATTGAGATGAGAAAAAAAACTTTCAGGAGGGTAATTGAGAAAATCGATCAAAGTGAATTTGACGGCTTCGAGTATGTGAATCCTCTACTAATGTCACTGGAAGACTGCGTGTGACAAGAACCGCTTCTCATTGTGCAGCGTCACAATCAAGATCAGCAGCTGCAGTTGCAGATGCAGCAACAGCAACTGCAGCAGCAATACATGTACGAATTGCATGACAGACTCGCGAAACTTCGTATCGATCCCCTACTCCCAGTCGGCTCAAGCAATCAAGGTTATCACAATAACGTATTTCTAATGACGTACTCGGAGGAGAATGAGAACGACAATAATTATAATGAGCATCATCGGCTACCGCCACCCTTCCCGTTCCGATACGAAAGTCCGGCATGCTCCCGTTCTCTGAGTATCACAGACGTAACCTACAGCCCAGGCAATAATAACGCGATTGTTAGCAATTATGACGAGCACGATTACGATGACATGGAAGATGAGAATCCGAGAAAGGGTCTCTTGAAGCAGATATTTTGCCTTCCACTAAATTGAGCTGGAGAGAATCGAGCTTCTTTTCCAAAGTAAGATCACCTCCAATTCGATTACTTGCGATACGCATTTTTGTAGAAACGACTCGAGAGATCTACCGACACCGTTGGACGTGTGCACGTCCTCGAGTTACGTAGTTAAAGAAAAGAAGAAAAAAAACAAGAAGACGAAGTATTTAATTCAGCGCGTATACGTCGTTAAGTTGACTGTTTCTCTTTTACGCATGGTGCTGCAAATAAACATATTAATGTGGGTATCGTTACAACATCCCCGCAGCTCTCAGCCGCGGAGAAACGAGCTAAAGGTGAAGACGTACCTGACTGCTTCGATTAATCTTTTACTTCGTAACAGTTTCGTTTATTTTGCGCAGCGAATAAATATTTCCAAGTATTAACGCGACTAATCATTTCTTTCTACACGATTACGTTCGATAATGAGAAAAGAGCCAGAAGTATTCTAACCGTATTATAACCGTCATTCCAACCAATATTACGAGTTTTAGATTAGTTACATTGCGGAAAAATCGATACCAAACATAGACGTAATATCCTCTCCTCTTTTCGTTGAGTAGCCTTTACGCGTGAGCGTTTTCGCTAAATCTCGCGTAAAACATTAGCGAGTAGTGACTATAACGAGAAAGACATTGCTTTTATATGAACATTCCTAATCACGATATAAATCGACTAGCCGTTGTCGTGATCACTTTATAGAACGAAAGACCATCGCATATAGTAGCAAAACTGTAAACTCCAAGCATTTCCTTTTGTTATCGAGAAATTGTATTCACTTAGGACAGCAAAGATGTGCAGTAAAAATAATTTTCTATGGAAACGTGGTTTTTTACTTGTAGAAACGTATTCTGAAATATTTTTTACTTCACAATGCAGCTAGAATTGTATTTACACATTTATCTACATTGATAGTATAATCCTCGTCCAAGTGTATGAAAGAGAGAGAGAGAGAGAAAGAGAGAGGGGAGGGATATACCGATTCCTAGTGATTAGTACAATTTTTATAGTTTTTCAAAGTATCGAGCAAACGAACAACTCGCAGTTGGAGTACTAAGACTAGTTTATCTTCTTATCGTTAAAGTTACATAGATCATTGTGCACAGTATTCCTTGACTATTTATAAATTCTAATAAATAAGACGTGCAATGTGTAAAGCATCCGCTCTAACTTTATTCTAAAATAATCGCCACAAATCTCGAAACGTATTAACACGTCGCAGGTATTAACTGTAGAGAGATATTTGCTAAGCGCCGTGAACGCGTTTTACTAGATTAATACGATCCGTAATAAAGGAAAAAAAAATTTACGATTTAAGAGACATTTGGGCGATAAAAGTGTTTTTACGTTCAACGAAGTGAACGATTTGCGATGAAATTCAGACATTCAGAGTGAAATTATACGTAGACTAATACACACTTGTAGTACCATGTATTAGAGATGTTACGCATGGTTTCCGTTCCGGTGATTAACGACGATTCTATCTCCTAATGCTGGATCAATGAAATATTTATAGGGAATACACACACGAGAAATATTAACGAGACAAAAAAAAAAGAAATACCAAATTACATCACACAAAAAAGAAAAAAGAGGAAATGTTTAACGAATCTTGTAGTTCTTTTCGGAGATTCTCTCAAATACTGGGAATACATACACATACACACACACACACACACACATATTGGAAAGAGAAGTAACTTAGTTTCAGTATACTCGCACTATCTTGAAACAACAATTGACCCCACGATACTCTGCCCAGACTCTGCGAGTCCTGTTAGAAGAGACGAAAGCGTTGCGCGCGACTTGTGTTAATGAAGAGATCGTACGTTAGAGAATATGGTGCCAACACTCAACGCCTTAATGTGTGTAGTGTCGTACATATTATACGGTACGAATATTACGTTGCGGAGCTTACGTAATCTTTTATACGGCGATATTTCGTGTTCGCTAAGATTTGCTTTGTATTTCTCGCCTTTACTTCGTCCGAGTGAGCCAACACGTCGTTTTACTTTTACAATTGTCCACTTGGTTTCGTTTCTATCGAGAGAATATGCGCGGTGCGCGAATTCCTATCGTAATATAGCGAATCAATTGAGAGCTACGTGTTATCCACCGTAAAGTTAATTGTTGCAAAGGCTGCTGTTATTTTATACGAATTACGGCAACTATTGCCGATCCGCTATTTTTTTATATAATGGACGAGTCGGTGTGAGTGATGTGAGGAAGCGAATAACTAATAAAGGTGTTCTAAATAGAGGGATCCTTAGCGCTGACGATATTGAATAGTACGATATCAAGTGATATATATCTTTTGTATTGTTGATTTTCGGCACCATATACCGCGGTTGAACTTACTTTAGGGCAGGCATTTAAGTATCGTTATAAGCTCTGTGTATCTTCGGATGAATTGTGTCTTTCCATAAGCGGAGCGCGGCGTCTCGCGTGACGACAAAGACTGTTAGACCGCGGATACGATTCGGTAAGCGCGTGAATTGAAATTGCCAGCGCTGTGCTTCTCGCGCTTCATCGATTACGCGTCATACCGAGCTCTGCTTACAAGTTTAGTATGCGGCATAGCTGCACAGAATTACAAGAAATTTCATATTTTGTATTTTATCTTTTTTTGAAAGACTAGAGTGACTTTTTTTTTTTTTTTTTTTTTTTTTTTTTTTAAGATGAGACAATCCGAAAATTACGTTGCTTAGGCAGATTTTTCAATAGTAATTGAAACCTAGACCTAAGTTTAAGCTCTCTGTTTATAACTCTGTAAACTTGAATCTAAATTTCAACTATTACTGAAAAATCGGCTAGATATTCTGTTATTCTCAATTATGAACTTTCCATGTATCCGTATGCTTCTGTTATACGCATTTATAACAACAGAAAAAAAAATATATATAATATATATATACATACATACATACATACATATATATACAGAGTGTTTCCAAAAAACCATTCAGCATTTATATGATAGATGCACACCATACCGAGTAAAAAAACCTAATAAACATAGGTCGAAAGCTCAACCGTTTCTGAGATATAAACATTTTTGTATGTTAGCATTACGAATGACTTACTGGCTTTACAGAAGGTGTTTCACATGTCCTCCTTCCATTTCCATACATGCTTGGCATCTTCTTTTTACAGAGTCGCGAATTCTCTCGAAAGTTCCAGATCTCTATCGAATTATTTCACAAACGCGCTGGGTTCGGTCACGTAATTCTTTTGTCATTTATTGGCGAAGAATACACTATGCTTTTCAAATATCCCCATAAAAAAGTCCAAGGGATTTAAATAAGGGGATCAAGGGATGTATGGAAATGGAAACAGGATATGTGGAATATCTTCTGTAAAGCCAGTAAGTCATTCACGATGCTAACATACAAAAATGTTTATATCTCAGTTTTTTTACTCAGTATGGTGTGTACTATCTACCATATAAATGCTGAATGGTTTTTTGGAAACATCCTGTATATATATCTTATATTTATACTCGCGGATTTCGAGGATCTCGGATATTTGAGCAAACAACTTTCTTCTCCACGTTCATTTGCGAACAATCTGAGGACACGTGCTGAAAAAAAGCATGTAGTCATTTAATTTAATATGTATTTCGTATCTTCTACGTCGTCAATATTATGTGACTTTCCGTTGTCTGCATTATATATCCGAGCCTCAGATATCCCGGATATGTTCCGAAAGTAAGGAAATAAATTATTAGGTCCGCGCAAGAGCGGATAATGTATGAGATATAAACATAGGAAAGTAGCATAAGAGTCAATCATCTACATACCTTCCCGGTATGTGCGATCTTTTTGATCACGCGCGTAAATAAAGGAGAGACCGAACGTGCGCGTTGCGACTAAGAATGAACATTGAGAACGTATTACTGATTAACGTCAGAGATTTTTGTTGCTGAACGCCACGCAGATGTATTTTTCCACGTGATTTAATTCGCGCGAACATTTTCAACTGGAATTGCAAGCTCGCTTTTCGTCTCGTTCTCGTCTGACGTTTATCAGCCCGATTGCCGGATTTAAGTGTACACACCGGGCATCCGAGATAATGATCGAAGATGTAAAACTTCCTTGTGTTCGTAGAGTACGATTCGCAAACGGTTTATCTCGATTTATTATCCGAAATTTAAGTTCAGAATTTCCTCCTCTCGCCGTTCAATAAAACGTAAACGCGACAATTAGTTATTCTCTTAGAACGTCCCGCTGTGTGTACACAATGTGTGTATGTATTATATATTTATGCATGTACATACATATATATATATATATATATATATATATAGTGTCAAAAGATATTCGGCGGTATGGATGACGCGCGTATCCCTGGCGTATAACGAGAGTTTAAGAGAAAAAATATCGGAATTGTAGGTATCTGTAATATATTAATTACTGTAAAAGCCGATAGTGACATTATAGTACAATATAATTTCACACATACACACACAGCACTCTTGAATGTTCGATTAATCTATCGTATGATTATGTGAACTTACGTTGATCGTAATCCGTCTTCTTTGTAATAAATTTTCCATGCTCATATTTTTCTTACTTTTTTCATACATACAGTATTGTTACATGTTGATCAGTTCATATTTCACATTAATCGCAATACACACATCTTATATTGCAATAACAATTGCAATATTGCTTCAATATTTTCAACGCGCGTAATTTCATTGAAGGAAATGTTAAGTTTCTAGCATATTATTTCTATCTATAAATTGGCTATATATATTGTGAGACTGTTTTTAACGTTTTCAGACTGTTTTCAACGTTGACAAGACATATATATATATATACACACACATACACGTGCTACAGTAAGACAATTATTAATAAAAAAAAATATATATATAATATTTATAGATAACTGACGAGTGGGATTGCATTTTTAATTGTTATAGAGTACAAGATATCAAAAAAGCAAAAGGGACGCTTATACTTTAGGATTTGTTACATGATCTAAATGAGATATAAATTAATGAGGTGCACATTTTGTCTTTACCGAGAATTCAAGGAGAAAAGTCTGAAAGAGTTGATGCAATTAATGGGATATCTCTCGTTTTTCGCGAAATTAACGAGTACCAATCGGACTCCTTTCTTCATCCGTGATGACAAAATGTTACGCGTATGTTGTCGACGTGTTAACGATGGCCTCATAATATTATTACCGGATGATTGCATATTTGAAATTGTATCGATACGTTATTATACATATGCCGTTGATAATATTTTTATAAGACTTGCGTTCTCTCAACAGGAATTATTGCTTCTCGAATACATCCTATATCGTGCGAACGGTTACAACAGTAGCCAACGATAATCTCAGTGACACGAAGAGATGTGATTCTGTTCCTTGAAGTGTTACAAATAAAATAATCCCTACGTGCAAAGGAATTTTCGTCAGTTACCTCTCGCTCCACCACAAAGGTGATTTCGTTCTGTTTAATGCTCGTACATGTTTAGAGTTGCTCAAAGTGATCACGCGCAATTCTTTTTAAATTCAATGCATTCTTATCAAATACAAAATCATATTCTCCTATTTTTTTTTTTTAATAAAATTACTATGATGTAATGTTTGTGTGTATCACTATGATGTGCTGTAATATTTGCTTTCTACTTTCTCTTTCAAGAATTTAAGCTTTACATTAACTGGCACCTCTAATTTACTTATAAATCTTTGCTTTATAACAGCAACATCTGTGTTTAAGAAATCTAAAAAATTAGAATATAGTCAATGTAAAAAGATTTAAAATATCTGTCCTTTGCTCTTTTTTACTGTCATAATCTACATCTGATTGTTTTTATCGGAGATATGACAATTTCGCCTGATCGCGTGGTGGTGGAAGAGGTACATTTTAGCTTTAATTCTACTGTATCCGCTGCTACGTAGTCTTGTTCGCAAGTTCTCCTATATCGCGATATATTATCCCGTTAAAATAAAAATATGAAATTATGATTGTTGTAATATTGAAATACGTTAGAATAGCGTGATTATACTATCGAGATACATTTTATAGTTACACTAATATTATCGATAAATTCGTTGTCCGAGATTTATGTATCGTCGAATTTTATGAAAACTAATTAGGAGATTGAGATGTTTTTACTGCGAAGATAGATCGTTTTGGGTGGTAACCTCGAGTGGCCAACGCGTGAGCTCAAATAAAATATCGATTATAGTTTGTGCGCAATTTTTCACCGGTATACATGCGTAGGCGATGCATACGGCTACGGTGAGATTCCATTTGTTTCGATAAATGCAATTTCACTGTAATCGAGGACGATTCATAAATTTTCACGTAAATCGCGCGGGAAGTTTCCCGACAATTTCCATCCGACCTATTCTAACATAAACTAATACATATCATGCGATATAAAACTATGTACATTGTTATACATTATGTGCAGCCAGCTCGACGAGCAATTTCGAGAATCTGTGCGATTGATTTACTATTAATATAGTCTTCGGTCTGAAAAATACCGCAAATTAAAACAAAGAAACGCGTTAAAATTGAGTAATTAAGTTAGCCAACTTGCATTTAATTGTCATTTAACTGTCTTTGCAATACGTTCACATTGGACAAAACCGCCAATAATTGCAAGAAAATTTCAAAGTTTATGCGGCATATACGATAATCAACCGCAAATCGCACATGATGGTAAAACTGTTCGTAAGCTAGCTCATTCATATTCCCGCATGGGTAACTTTAACGAGATATACTAAACGATTAAGGTGTAAGTTTACATAGACTACCACGTATATAACTCTAATCACGTTAAAAATGCGGAGCACGCGAAAGAAATCAGGATTAATCGCTTCAAGCGTCAGCCGCGATCGGGCGAAACGTCCATTTCTTCCAGGATGAGCGTACCGCAGCTCATCGGCACGACGTTTTACGAGAGCGGATGATCTTTTACGGGCGTTGCTCAAGTGCGATTAGAGAGAAAGAGAGAGAAAAGGTATAAGTTTATAATTATAGGCTGGTCCGATGCATCGTGCGAGAAATTGCAGTCATGGATTGATTGACTAAACAGAGTTTGTATAAATGTATATATAGAGAACGGCGGTTATTACGTCGAGACACACTAATCGAAGTTACTTTGCGATGCGGATTTCTTCGATAGTGCTACGTCCGACGCGGCGAATGGATTAGACAAGTACAGACTATACATATATACATATGTAAACGCAACGTATTAATGACACTAATAATAACAATAAATTAGACCGATTCGTTATACGTTTTTATTGTATCTCTCTCAGTAAAACTCTGTCGTTGGCGGTCTCTTTACTCTCAGCAACGACTCCGCTATTGATATTGGGCCAACAGTTGCAGAATAGGTCGGGACACCATCTGCAAGGAAGACTTGCCCCATATGAAGTCGTAGTGATTAAAGTTGTTCATGGGGATTTTGTAGTGCAGCACGACACTGTTGAGCCTCGCAGCCAGAAGTTCCACGTCCTTAAAGAACGATTTAATTATTCTTGCAACTAGGATTAATGTATAATTAGAATATCGATGCGATCAATTTTACATTGCTTTTACTCAAAACAGGAAATTTAATTTCCAAGAAATAATTTCTCTTAATTTGCACGTACTTTTGTAGTTGCTAGCCAATCGTTGTCGCTGCTGAAGAGAGCGATCGGTGTTGTAATTTTCTCCAATTGATAATCCGGTGGTGTCGTTGAATTGTACTCTTGCAGATTTTTCTCGTCATTGCCGTAGTCGTATTGACTAAAATGTCCTGAAAGAATTTTGAAGCTTCTTAAACGCGTCATCTTAAGTTTTATTCTTACGTAATCTATCATTTTATGAGTGTGCAATAATTTATTCGGTTTGTTAGACTTATATTTGTGAAGTAACACGTATTAAACTCCGCAACTTATGCTTTATCCTACATTTATATAAACTATTACATTACCATTAATATATCCTTGTCCATAATGAACGAACTGTTTCCAGGAAGCACCAGCTGGCACATGGCCTATAATTACCGTCAAGTTTTCCTATTGAAGAAAACAAAGGTTGATTAAAAATGTAAATAAAAGCGAGGTGTGAGGTCGAAAACAAAAATGAAAACATATAAGATGTCTCCTTTTTATCTTACCGTATTTAACTCCTCCCGACTAAATCCCGCTATCAAGAACAGGAGGTTGCTGCAGATGAATTGCGTGGGCGCCGCGTTCTGGCAGAATAAATTCGACACGAATTTTCCCCAGTCGGACCGAGAACCAAATTCGGGATAGCCGAAAGTCTCGCCAATCCACTGCAAAACACAAGCGATTGTCGTGAGAAACTTAACAGGTCTTGGGATATTTGAGCGACAACTTACCACGCCAAGATACGTCAACTTAGCGAGTTTAGTGATCGGCCCGCGGATGTTGGCGGTGAAAGCCGCGGGAGCCAGTGCGATCATTAGGATGATCTTCGAGTTGTATTCGGGTTTCTCCGATGCCATCACCCAAAATTGCGTGGTACCCTCCGAGTGGCCGACGTAGAGGATTCTCTCGTGTCTTGTTGTGTTGGAGATGTAATCGATAATCGCCGGAAGATCGTAGATGCCAAACTCGTGATAACTGAAACACACGACAGAATCAATGTAAAGAAGGTGCAAAAACCTCGCGTTTTTATTAGCTCAATTTTAGTCGAATTTAAGTTTTTATAAAATTTTCTTTAATCAATTGTTAAATTTCAGATTCTTTTGAGAGAGCTAAATATCTGTCGCAATACGAATGCTGTATCTAACTCAACGGTAATTCTATAACTCATATTTATCATATATGACAAATATGACGATATGTTATGCGGGATTATAGTAGGTGTTTTGAAAATTTTCATTTGATTAAGTGTAATCAAAATTTATACATTTTTGAAATTCCAGCTACCTAAAGTTCCAGAAAGTTCGATCTGACGGCGACAGCGAGGTGTGATTTTTGGAATAAATGTTGCCTCTGTTATTTCCAAGCCACACGTCGTAACCAGCGTCAGCTAATACGTATGCTAGAAATAATTCTTCATTACATTATCTTGTCTAAGCGATAATAATAACTAATATGCATTATCATAACAATTTACTTGGCAGACCTATATAAGCGTACCTAAAGACTTGCCGGGACCCATAAGGACCCAACCGGCGGAGCTTCCTCCCATACCGTGCATCAAAAGTATCGGCGCTTTTATCCTAGAATTCGCTTTGTTGTCATTTCGGGGACGCGGTATACGATGCAATTGCAAAATGTATCCATCCGCCGTAAGGACATCATGAATCTCCAAAGGATATTTGTACTTCGTCACCAATTCGGGCTATCCAGCGTATAAAAATTACATTTCCATTAATATATTTTTTTTCCATTTCATTTTATTCAATGTAACGTGCGTTCTCCGCAGGAACTGTACGTGAAATGTCAATGAGATTATTTGAAGTGCAACGTGACAGAGTTGAATTAGAAACGTGTCAAATCTATTTTATTCACAAAAATAAGGTATCAATATTATTCTCGCATCGAATATCTTTCACATTTGTTCCAAGGGTTGTTGTTGCGTTTCAATTTCGAGACAATGTAAACGTAAAAAAGAGGATAAGTTAAAACACATTAGATAAGCTGGTTTAATTGACATTCTTATTGCCTATTACTTATGTAATTTAACTGGATAATTCGGACGACAGAATAGAAAGTTGAGAACGTGACAACTTACTGTTGTGAGTGAAATATCAGGATTATCGTCGGCTTTACTAAACGCGATCGCTAACGAGAAGCAGCGCAGAGTGATTATTACGAAAATTCGTCGTCGTGTCGACAACATCGTGATGTTCTTCAGCGACAGAGAATCGAAAATTTCACTCATGTGCATTTATATATATATGCATCGTCGCGAGTTTACACGATAATGTGAATTTACGTTCTCTGCTTGCTAGGTCTGTATCCTTGATCCTTAACGCAGAAATAACCGCCATGGAGAATGGCAATGATGGAGCGGTGTCAGATGCTTCGTGCGATTACACATCGTGGAAATGAATGAATGCTGTTCTTCTGCTTGCTATCTTCGGCACTTTAAGATTTAAGTGCGGACAAGACTCGCAGTCTCTCTTATCACAAGTGCGTAATGTGTACCGGGTAAATACCAACTAACAGTAACATTACATCAATATATATGTTCCAATTTTCCACTGAACAGTCCCATATAGCACAAATCTCTAAAAGACTTCTTAAAGAGTTTCAAAAGAGTTCTTAAGTCCTCTAGAACACTTTTGAAATTCTTTAAGAAGTCTTTTAGAGATTTGTGCTATATGGGATGTAACTATTGCATAACGCACGTGTTATATCGCATTTACATTGTTGAGTGAGAAATTATAACATTGACGTTATGTATTGATAGTTAATGTTGATTGGTTTGTAATTGCTTGAGGAATCGCTACCAACTTTAGTCCAGAATACTGAAAAAATAATCCAAAATTCGTTAAATTAATACAAAGATTAATTTCGTAAGAACAAAGTTAAAATGTTAAGAATGTTAAAACTTATAGATTTGTTGAATTAATCAGAAAATGTAAGAACACTTTGTGACATTAACATATATTATCATTTGGAATAATAGAGAACAATGACAGATAACACTTATAACGATAAAGAATTTTTTTGTCACTATTTTATATTTCGAAAATATAATAAAATGTAATTAAATCAATTTGTTTATTATTATGCAGTTATAAAATACGAGAGGAATTTAATGCTTGCACAATTTGGAAACTAATTTTGTAGTTTTACCGTTATCTTATCTTTGGCATGCGTTGCGAAAGCGACTGCTACAACTAGGCCATTGTATATAATACAACAAGGTCGATTTCGTCAACTTCTCGCGTACATACCCTTGAAAGAAATTAGGGAAATAGGTTCATTATTTTGTCGTTAAGATTACAGGTATCGCTCGTGCGCTCGTTCGTGTTCAATCTCAGATTGAGCAACGCCTGATTGTAGAAATCGCAATACCTCGTACTAATTTCGTTTCTGCACCGTTTGTCGTTTGTCTATTTCAGAGTCTCGTTGATAAAATATATTCAAACGAATAGCGTATTATATTCAAAAATCGTTTCGATAATCTTACTGTATTCTTTCATAAAGAAGCTATAAATTAGAAGGGACTGATAGATTATAAATTAATAAAAAGAGAGAAGGTGATCAGAGTTTGACTAGAAATCAATTGCGTAAGATTCATGACGAATGAAAAGGAGATTAAACATTAATTATAATGTTAATGAAATGAAACTTGATCAGAGTTTTTACGTATAATACTCTGCATCTACGTAAACAACGTAAATCATATATGAAATATTCCCACACAGCACACAATATTATATAATATCACAGTAATATTTCCGTAATATTGTAATATCGCAGAAATATTATTGAAATATTACTGTGATATTATATATATCACGTGCTGTGTGAGTTATCTATGTAGACGATAAGTAATTTACGTGTGTCGTTTAGAGAACGTATAGCTTGCTCAAAAATTAATTTAAAAAATTATATTTTTATTTTAAAATTATATATTTTAATTTTTATTTAATCCTGATATAAATTTATGAACGCCGTTATCTAAACGAGTTAGAGTCCACAAAAAATTCTCTGGCTATATTTTTCTTACCTACAAAAAGTTAATTTATCAGTCTGTCACATAAAATGAAAATTTTATGCAATTTGTTTTTTCTCTTAAACGTTACATTTATAATCAATATTTGAAACAGGTACGACCCTTATAGAAATATCATACTAAGAATCATTGATAATTACTTATTTTCAATATTAAAAATACTGGATAATAAGTAATTATCAATGATTCTTAGTATGATATTTCTATAAGGGGGTAACTGTCTCTTAATTTATAGTTGCTTCTTTTTTGTGTATTTGAATATAATTTGCAATATTCTATATAGTTTACATCGTCATACATGTAAAACGACTGTGTATATACATTACGTGAAAAAATACGTAAACAATCCGCGTAGACGTAATCTTGAAATCTACGCTATAATCTTGACCTCGACGAGCCTTCCGCGGCAACCCGACATTCATTGGCGCAAAACAATTTACCATTATCCTCGATCAATAAGTAGAATATTCGCTTCGGTTGCACAGTTTCGCCATGAGATAGCGGTGTTTTCGCCATTTAAAGTGGCTGCAGAGCGCAGACATTAGGGGCGGTATTTAAAAATGGCGACGCACTTGTCAGTATTGTTTTATATTATTAATCCGGCGAGAATCAAAAGTATTGTCGAGGATACGCGTTACCGCTGATACAAGTAATTATTGCTCGCCGTGTTACCGTCATACCAAAGAGAAACAATGATTTCCTCTGTTGTCGCTTGTGTTATATTGACTGTTATAAGTATGGCTATTGTTATGGACTGGAGTTATGTCCAATGTTGTTATCTCTACGTTGTGCTGACTTGTTCCTGCTTTCTCGTTGGCCCGTTGATTATGATATTGATCAACATAGCTTTATCGCCCAAGCATCAAACTGGCTCTGGTTCTGTTAGAACTATCGCAGAGTTAGATACTTTCCATAACATGCTGATGGTAAGAACCAATGTAGAATTGATAAGATTTTCTGGCATTGATAATATTATTTAATATATGACAGCGAGCTCGCGCTCTCACAATCGATAATGATGTTGAGTGTTTGTTGTGTAATAAGTTGAGATAAGTAATCTTTCTTAATTAGTTCCTAATCATACATTGATCTTTTAGAAAGGATACGAGCCAAAATTAGCCACCGCTAGAAAGCACATGCGCTATCCTGTAGTTTTCACTCGTTTGGTGGATGGTGCTCTGCAGAACCTGCTGGATTTAATTTTTCAGGACTTTGTCGGCTCTTGGTTGAGCGATCTGGCTTTTGGCTCGGACCAGCTGATAGATAATATGAAGCAAGATGTGTGGGGCGCGATACAGAGTCTCCACGATCGCTTATCGCGTGTTGATCACACGAAATTAGTTGTTTGTAATATAGTGAACAAACTTACTTTTCACTTTGAGAAGATCAGGATAGCTCAAGCAGCTTCGTAAGTTCTCATGTTACTGATTCGGAAGACTTTTCAAGAAAGGAGATGAGCCAAGATATTCAACTCGTTTGTTGCACTCAGATCGGAAGGAGAGGATCCTGTATTTATTTTATCAGCGCATCTAATGTCACCTGTTGCTGAGTTGGAGTATTTAAGGAAAATTAGTGAGCTTTATATTCTATTTTTGTTACCACGCAGTTATTCTTTATCTCCCATAAAGTTCCTCCTGAGGGAGGTTCTTACGTGCAAAAGTTAGTATATTGTCATCTTATCGTGAATAAATAATCGTCCATTTTAGGAATATTGTATTTGTCTCTTTCCATTTTAGTACTGAAGCCAGCAATAGACTTAATTACGGATCCCGACTATATCAATCAGAAGATTCTGGCGTATATCGATCAGCAGCAGCTCACCGAAGCGATGCATAGAAAAACGTACGAATACGCGGAGTCCTTCGAAGACTTCATTCGTATGATAAAGGCCTCGAAAGATTTGGAGGTTCTCAAACATATCAGATACAATATCGTTACCGAGATCATGCAGGCTACCACGATACAGAACGTCAAACGTGCTCAAGGTTTGGATTCTGAGAATAACGCGTTCGGAAAATCCGACGCCGTGCAAGCGAGAAAGTTGAAGAGGTATATCAGCCAACTGACATATGCTAAGAACACGTGCGAATGTCACATGCAGACATTGGGATGGGACGGATATCCTCGTCAGGTTACATATGAACATGTCTATCGCGCGGATCATGATGAGAACTATATTTCACAATGATATATTCCAGGATACCGAGATTTGTGACGCCACGGAGATTTCGGAAAGCAGGATACTTCCGTTACAGGCGATTCTGGATAACGTGACCGGTCGCCGATATCTATCTCAGTTTTTGGAACAGGTCGCTAGTCAAGGGCTGATCGGCTATTGGGCGGCGGTGCAGGAATTACGCACTGCGGACAGATCCAATTGGCATCAGTTAGGGGCAGAGATCTTTTACACATATATCAGGTCACCCACTGCTGAAATCAAGGTAGACAAGAACGTCCGAAAACGGATGGAGTCTTTTCTTCTGGGCGATAAGGGACCCGCTGTATTTTATGAGGTTCAAGACGGCGTTGTAAAGACGCTTCAAGAGAAATATTATCCGTCATTTCTCGTTAGTGAGCAGTACAAAAACATGCAGGAGGCGTTACTCAACGAGAGAGCGGAAGGTCAGTTCGCTTCTATTGTCGACGACGTGTGAATGTTCTTGTTATAAATGACATGTTATTAATCTTCTCTCGTATATTTTCTCATACAGATTTAGTTGAGGATCGTGGAATGGTCGATGGTGCTCTGTCAGAATCTTCACCTTTGCTCGTCGGCGAACGGTCGAATTATGCTCGTAGTAAACTGGATCAACTGCAGGAAAAGTTAAACAACAAGATGCAAGCTTTACAGGCGCTCAAGTCTTCTCTCAAGCCCGAGAGCAAGGTGCTAAGTATATTGGCGAAAGAAGTCGAGTGGCTGCAAGGCGAGAAGCGGCAACTGGAGGCGCATCTAACTCACACGGAAATGTGGGCCGAGCACTTGGGTCATTGGAGAGCTGACGTGCAAAGCACAGAGGTAATTTAATATTATTCTCTCAGTTATTCTCTAGTGCTCATACGAAAAACTTGATGGCTCGTTATCGTTGGGTAGATGCCCGATAACGGGGATCCTCCGCAATTTGTACTGGTTGTCCACATGGCAGAGGAAGACAACGATGAGAGCATATCCAGCGGGTGGGTGGTGTTGAGGAAATTGCAAGACTTTCAAGATCTCCACAGAAAATTGCGTCAGTTGTGCTCTAACGTGAAAAACTTGGACCTTCCCTCGCAGCCTTTGAAGTTCTTCGGGAAATCTGATAAGAGCACTCTTGACAAAGCGAAAATGCAAATACAAAAATATTTAAATGTAAAAAAGACTCCTTCTTAATTATAATTCTTAAATTTCTCACCCCGAGTTCTCACTATTTCGTTTAATTCTTGCAGTTTGTTCTGGAGGACGAAAGACTTAATCAGAGTGAAGCATTGTATGCCTTCCTCAGCCCAAGCTCGGAGCACTTGAAAGCCGTGGCGCCGTCTCCTAAGAAATCTCGCTTCTCTCTGTCTACGTTATTCAAAACGTAGGTCACATTTTCTCTCTCGCGCGATAGCAATCTCGTTAACTCCGTGAATTTCTACGACAGGTCTGTCGGTAATAACGAGGCACGTGACAAAGAGGACGAAGAGGATTATTCGTTGTTGCTGGACGATAGCGAAACCGGCCGTGCCGCTACGGACAATTATCTAAACGCTAGCAAGGATGCGATAGCGGAACCTTTGTATACGCTTCTAGGAGAAGTTTTCGACTTGAGAGGGGTATTTCGTTGGCTCAGACGATCTCTGATTACTTTTGTGCAGATCACCTACGGACGGACCATAAATAGGTAAAGTACAATAAAAGACAAACTTCGCTCATCTGCAGACTTTTAAATATCCTATACATTTAGATAATAAAAAACTGAACTTTAAATCCTTTGATATTTTTTAAGTGTGCGTTATATTTTTCTAGAAATAGATGCATTTACAAAGAAGAGAGAGTCTAATGTTTTATTTCAATTTTATACAAAACAATTCTTTTTTTTCATGAAGATACTTTGTTGTGTTATTAATAGATAGTTTGCAAAGTAATATCATTAATTTAATGTCAACATTAATACACATATGGATAATGATAATACTGACATCAATAATATATGTTTATATCATTAATGTTAATATTAACACTGATCGCGCAGACAAATCAGAGATACCGTCGCGTGGGTGTTCTCCGAGCCGATGCTTCATTATTACATACAACTGTTCACTAAGTCGTGGTGGCCGAATGGTCAGCTCGTGTCCGAGACCGTTCTTCGCACCGACGAGGAGAAGCTGAAGACACGAGGCGAAGCACGCCGGCAATTTCTTAACAATGTACCTGAAGTACTGACGAATCTAGTGGGGGCGCAGAGCGCACAGCGCGGTGCGACCAAGGTTTTCGACTCCCTGCAAAACGTGAACCTGAACAAACAATTATTTTACGTAAGTAGCTGGTTCGCGAGCGGTGTCTCTGATTTCGTGTCGATTTTTTCTCCTTCTTTCATTCTTATCCTTCTTCTCTTTTGTAGGACATATTTGAAGTATTGATGTACGAAGTATTTCCGGAACTGCAGCGCAAATAATGTTCCTTAACAAATAAACAAATAAATCAATGTGATATACAATGAGTACAATCCCGTTCACTTCCTTACCAAAGGATCTTATTCTATGATTACTCCAAACGCAGCGGATAACATATCCGAGAGAGCAAGTGCTCGACGGCTATGCGACCCACATTGAGAGATACGTGTATGTGTATGCACGTGCGAACGTGGGAAATGTACGATAAACTACAACGCTTTATTCAACAATCCTAGATATATTTTCTTTTGTTTTTTCATACGCAATCGAAACGTCTCTTTGCGGGACATAACAAATGTATATTTATATCGTATCACACATCTCGTAAAACTAATTCAAAATCCACTATTACGTACAATGTCCTCGGAGAGATCTGGTAATAGCGTTGAAATGTTTTATAGTTACCGCAAAATTGATATTTACGAATTTTACATTATCGTATTTAGAATTGACCGCAACGCGTCTATTTCAGTGTAAATCTAATAATCTTCGTACTAAAAGAGCTGGACGAAGATACAGTGTGCTAACACACGAGATTGACGTTAGGGTAGAAATGTTACAACTCCATGTGTTTATTTTGTCAGTTTTAATTGTCATATAAGGATATAAAGTATAAACAATTGAGCTGGCGCGCGTAACTTGCAGTTTCAACAGCATTATGATATCTCATATGTTTCTATAATACACTTTAATACTTTCTAATAGCCTCTCGTAGCAGGAATATACCTTATATAAGTAACACGAGGTACCTATATCTGTCGCTTTGCGGAGAAATACGTATTCGATTCCGTTAAGGAGAATAAATAGCTGCGAGAGCGAGTTTGCTAAAAGAAAAGAATTTGGCCGGATAAGTGTGTATTATTTAAATAATGTCACAAGCTAATGAGATTGATGAAAGCGTAACGATTAAAAATAATGGACGAACGTAAAATCCCGATAAAATCAACCGTGTGTGGTACACCTTTTCACAAGCACGTATACGTTTGTTACGTTGAACGTATACGTTTTGAATATCGATTTTACGGTAACTATAAAATATGATAAGGTATAAATTATGTGAGGACTCTCGTGAAGTCTTATATGCTACTGATATATGGATCCGAGAAACATGTTCGATACAAAGGGGACATCGGATATGAACGGAGTGCGGAACAAGCGACAGAGATACGCATCTTTAAGGTATAAACATATTAATGCAAACTTATACACATTTCTTCCTTTCTCTTTTTCACAACATGAAAAATAGCGATTGGTATTGTATGTGTCGTGAGGAATTCGAACGTATTCATGTATGTCGAGGATCGCGTGAATCGATCTGTAGATTACTATCTACGGAAATATAAACAATCTATTACTTGTACTGTGCAATATAAATACTGCTAAGTTCTTAGTAACGTTGACTAGATAGTTACAAGCGATATTTCGAGGAATAGAAAGAGTATTCGAGTTATAATAGGAACGGACGAAGTATAGTATACAGAAAACATTGATCTCTATGTCCGGAGTTAATCGAGCGCCAATGGTGGTGGCCCTCCACCCCCCCCCCTCTCTCTCTTCCCCTTTTGCTATGTAATCTTTTACAGCGTACTTTAATGATACTTAAAGATCCAATCTAAAATAATTGTTAAAATGCAAGGAACTGTAAACATAGATTTGTAAATAGTACTTAACAAATAATGAATATGCTTTGTCTTTATACAGAGAGCCGTGCGCATTTGTTCGTTCGAATCACAGTATGTCTCAATGGCAATAGTATTTTGCTGACTACGCAAACCTTCTTGTTCCTCATCATCTAATGGTGTATACGCCTCAAGAAAAGAAAAGAAAAGAGAGAAAAGAAGAAGAAAAAGAAAACAATTGAAGATAGTATCCTCTCCTTCTTCGTTCCTTTACTTGGCAGTGAACTCGGGCCAATAATTTATGTGATAACGTTGTGTTAATCCCTCGAACAGTTTGTCGAGCCACATCGGTAATCCGTCCAAAAGGTTTTCGTGATATAAAACGTTGTTTCCACTCTGTGAAAAAAATATCGCAACACGCACACAATTAGCAGATATTAATTATAACAATTAATTTTACGCGACGCAATATCGTTAATGAATGTCGCGAAAAATCGCACAGAAATTCTCAACAACTTGTCACTATATTGTTTACCTCATCCTGAGACATGTCGGACTCGTTAGAACTGTCAAAACCGATAAAAGCACCGGCTTCCGCGTCCTGAGTGAGTTGCTTGGTCATCGTTGCTAAACGCTACATACGTAGCACAATAACGCATATATTATATTTTCAGATTAAAAAGTCCCTCTTCCTTAAGATATTCCAATACATACCTTAGAACTTTTACTCTTCGTAATTGATGTGCACTCAGGAAGCTTAGCGTGATACATGCAGAAGTATTTCCGATGGCCATTTAAGGACAACACCGTTCCCACGCAATTCTTGGCATTTATGTTCAGTTCCTTGTAATCGAATAAAGTGAGAGATAAAAGTTTCTTGTACCAATCGAGACCCTTCTCTAGTGACATATGTGCGAACATAAGCGTCTTATTCTTCCTGCAAGTGCAACGTTGTTCATCCCGTGACACATTCTTCATTAGTGTTAATTTAATCGTGTACTTGTTATGCGATTATTGCTGCGTGTAATTTGTGGATACTAATTATAATGTGAAAGAATTATTGCATTCAGTGATGCAGCATACCTATAAGGCCACACAGCTTTGTGGAAAACTGGCAATAACTTTAAACGACTCTGACCGTCAATCAGCAGAATGATAGTTCGGCATCCAGGCTTTAAAAGTCGGACTAAACCGTTGTATTTCTCCGCGCGTAACTCGTGTATCCGAAGCTGCGGCTGTGGCGAAGATAACTTGTCCTTTCGGGCAGGCTGAACGCTCACTTCTTCAAGCTTGCTGAATAACAAAAAAAAAAAACACATAAAAATACGTACGCATATATAGTCTTCGATAAAATAATATAATATACAAAATTTTACTTTCACAACAAATCGATTATATGAAGGTGCATGGATAGTGTACATGCTCAAGGAATTAATAATCGCATATTTATCGGCATACGTATATATCGATCTATTAATGCATTTGGCCGTGAAAATTGGTTAGTACCGCAATGCTGAAATCATATTGAAAGGTATACCACATAATTTCGCAGTTCTATTTTACTCACGCTAGGTATGACATTCCGTACCCTGCTGCTCCGATTAGCAGGAGAGTCGCTAGTACCGATATCAAAGGTAAAATCTGCTCTTTCGTCAGATTATCGGATATATAATCTACCGCTAATAATGCCCTCCCTATTAATCTGTCTACAGTACCCTGAAGAAAGATAACAAAACATAAATATAATAATATATAACGCAGTTGAAATAGTTGAAATAGTAATATCAGCTCTTACAAATTAAGATCTTAAAAATGAAATATAAGTTATATCCTGATCTAATCTAGATTCTGTTACAGAGAGATTATTATGGGATGTACCTGTGCGTGCTCGTCCGCTAATTCCCCTATGACTGCGGCATACGGTAAAGCTTCGGTAGCGCGTAACAACCTCTGTATCATCTTTTCTAAATGTCTACGTGTCTCGTTCCATATACGCTCGTCTTGCGCAGCGTCGACCCATCCGTCGGGCAGCCATTCGTACTTCAAGTGATTGGCGTCTCGTCTCCAGATAATGACGATGTGTAACAAAGGTTCCAGCGGGCTACCTTCGCCGGCTGACAGCGCCGACACAAACTCGGGCTGCGTGTCTTTAAACACGTATGCGTATCTCACGCGTTCGGTGCTGCAAAGTACAAATTACCAGTAAATAAGATGATCGGCAGAAAGCGTGAGAAGTTCAATTATGGTCTGTAGACGCTACCTGTAAGTAGACTCTAACGCCGCTTGTCTAAACTTATGCCTAGCCATATCGTGAAGTGGACTGTTTTGTTGTGATATTAAAACGGCGCACAAGCGCTTCTGCGGCTTCAGCCATTCAGGTGGGCATATAGAGTCCAACATGGCTTGATTCGAAAGCCTTGGCAAAACGAGAAACTTATTGTTGGCGATAACGTTATGCATCGTCTCGCTGGAAATATCTTTCATACTAACGGACGCCATAGGCTTCTCAGAGTTCTCATTGAACAGCAGTAGAGTGTCCAGTTCCCCTGAGATTTTGTATTTCGACGTAATATCCTCGGTCTCAGGTATACCGATCTATCAATAATAACGAATATTACAATTAAAGCTCATCAATCGAAAGTTACGATTTTGAGAGAATTTGATTTACGACATCATAAATCATCTTTCACCGCGACAGGAGACTAGCTCTTAACGAGAAGAATAACTCTAAATGATCTTGACGTTATTTGTTACAGAACGCTTACCTGGACAAAACCAAACGCTACTCGATCTCTGTGGTAGAAAGACGTAAGCAGATATCGCAATCGAATGAAGTCTCTCTTTTCGAATATCAAAGCGCGAATTCGATTGTCCGTCCAACCCGACAAGAAATTTTCCACGTTAGCGCTGCTAACAGTACTTATTAATTTATATGGTAGCCTACTTCGTACAAATTCTGCAAACAAACATGTCCATCAGCTCGGAATCAAAGCTAGTATTTCTCAACAACGATTGCTCAACAACGCACCGATAACTTTCTGAATGCTAAACAACGATTCTTTGTAGATGCTAGGTCGCCCCTCTACGGTAACAACGAGACATGGAAGCGAGTGAATGCCAAGTCTCCTTGCCAAAGTGGGCTCTTTCTTAGTGTGTACAGTGACCAAACCGAAGCCTAGAGGCTCCAATTCGTCGATCAATCGTCGCCAAGTAGGTTCCACTTGTAGACACGCGAAACACCAATCAGAATAAAATAAAATCAAGTATGGCATACGATAAGTTTTTGGTATTATCACATTTTCGTACGACCTGTGATTTAAAAATATAAATTAGAGATGTAAGGTAATGATCTCAATTAAAGTAATTATCTCAATCAAGTCTCATAATTGGGACTCACATAAAAATATTTTTTATATCTCTTTTTAAATTAAAAATCAAAACTTAAAGTATAATAATTTTGCTTTAAAACTAAGATATTTGTTGATATTTGTATTGATATTAATAGTTCATTTTAATGTTTGATTAATAAATTCATGTAAATAAATAAAAGTTACACTAATTTTAAATGACCCATAATTAGAACTGTTATTTAAATAACAACAAATTACAAATAAAAGATACATACCGATATGTGATGCTCATCTTATGGAACAGCGTGATATCTCTTTTCTGATAATGGAATTGGAAATTACCAGAGAATAATTCTTCCAATGGATCGAGAACATTGTAGTGATTACTGTCTCTTCTTTGCCTCACAGTTCCTTCTTCTGTTATCCCAAAATTATCAAACTTTCTCCTTCTTTCTGGATCTGTCAGAAGCTGAAAAATTCAACACAATGACAAACAATATTCACGCAATACTGTCTCTGATCTATAGTGTCGTTTTAAACAGAACGAAATCTACCTCGTAAGCTTTAGTTATCTCTACGAATTTATCCTCAGCCATAGGATGATCTGTCTTGTCCGGATGCCTGAGAAAGATGCATTGTTTATGAGACACTTCATATCCAGGAAAACATAGCTTAATTTTGGATCTCAATTTTGGATAGACAAAAATGCTAATACTTACCATTCCTTAACGAGATGCTTGTATGCCTTTCGGATATCCTGCAGGGACGCATGTTTCGATACGCCCAGTATTTTATAAGGATCACCCAGAGAATCGACTGCGACGACCGACGGTGTCAGCTGGATAATGAGGAGGAGGCAGAGGAGCAGCAGGAAAGCGTACCTCATCAATGGCGAGATATTACTCTTCGTAACGTCGCCGGATCGTGTGTTCGTCGACGCGTGAGTCATTAAAAAATCAATCAATAACATTATCCGTGACGCAGTGGTAATCCACGGGGCTGTACCCCGTCTCTCTGCACTATGCGCTAAACCGTGATCCCGTACAATGTATCGCGGCTGGTCGTTCGTTCAGGCTACCTCTCGGTCACGCAGCCGGAGTTAGCAGACATATTTCGCGCGGATCATCGTCCACTCGTGTCGTCGCGTGGGGCGTTGAGCACGTCGGCGGTCTCACATCAACATTCCTGGGTCACCATGTTGTCAAATTAGACACACATACGGACCTCGGCTGGTCGAGCGATGGCGAAATCTTCACGGCCGGTTTACAGACGCAGCCGTTGACAGCGAGCGCTCTCATGCAAACCCGCGCAAGTCGCAGCCAATTATTGTCGGAACGGGTCTGCATAGTGCATGGTCGCGTGCGCTGTGTATGCACGGAGAAATCCGACCAATCATGCGCGGACTACACGAGAGAATGAGGACGAAAATAGTTGCATTGATGAATTATATATTATTGAAAAATGTGAGAATCTCTTTTGGTGACACGCTGATTGACCGAATTTGAAAGTATCGAAAAGATAATCGATCCTTTAAAAAAAGAAAAAACGAACGAAAGAAAAAATCGATCATCGATTTATCGGTCATACACTATCCATCTCTATCTGATGTGCTGTCATATCCTGATGAGAGAAAGAAAAGTGTGTGTTTTGTCTAGTCGAAAGTTGCATGGGCCTGTGTGTTCATTAATTCCCTTATTATCGTTACTATGAGATAGCATTGTGATGACAAGTAAATATTGAATTATTTAGACGAACGCGACATGACGTCTAAAACTGTATGCATCACTCAAGAAGGACCTGCGAATGCCTTAGCTCTTAATAAAGATAATAGCCAAGTTGTGATAGCCGGTCGCAATGGTTCGTTATTTTTTATAATGATATATTGTTTTGGAGTTAAGAGAAATATACAAAGATTATTATATAGTGTTGCATAATTTTTAATAATTATCGTATAATAGATTGTTGTTGAGAGAAAAAGTTAAAACATCACTACAGAAAGTTTTATTATAACTATTCTATGATATAAAATTACATTTACAATTATACTGTGTTTTTTAATTATTATATTATATCTAAGAACTATGTATTTCAATGATGTTGCAGTTTTCAAAATACTTACATTATTGGAAGATAGATTTGAGGAGACCTGCAATCTTCGAGTTGGAAAGAACTTAAATCTTAATTTTTCTTGCAATGATGTTGCGTGGAATCTTATTGATGGTAATCAAACAATTTATTTCAGTTGAAATAGTTATTAATATATCACAAGAATATATATAGTATTTTAAATATATATATATATAAGGTATAATTAAATAAATCTAGTGTATAACTTATATGCCAAACCTTTACAAATATATTTGTTCTAGTTGTGCTATGGATAATTATGCTTAGATATTATTCAATTATATTAATATGTTTACTTTATATTAAATTATATTATAATGTTATATCAATTTCTAGATCATATTTTGGCAACTGCAGCTACTAACGGAGCTGTTGTTGTATGGAATCTGAATAGACCGTCCCGGTCGAAACAAGAGCATGTATTTATGGATCACAAAAGAACTGTGAATAAAGTAAGCTTTCACACAACAGAACCTATGATATTGATATCTGGCTCGCAAGATGGTACTATGAAATGTTTTGACTTACGAACAAAGGAAGCTGTTAAAACATTTCTAAGGTAAAAATAAGCTAAGTGGTCTTATATATGGTGATGCACATAGTTTGATTTATTATTGGTGGTATTTGTTTCAAGGACATATTTAGCACTAAAAAGCAGTAAGGAAAATTTGATTCAGCTTATAAGCTTGAAACAATTTCCACTATAAAAATAAATATAAGGAATATAATATAATAAATATAATAAAAAATAAATATAATAAATAAATATAATAAAGGAAAATAATAATATTGTTATTTTATATTTTAATTAATTTCTTATTATATCTATATGTTTGTTTCTAGTAATACAGAATCCGTGAGGGATGTTCAATTTTGTCCACACCAATTGCATATGTTTGCAGCAGTTTCTGAGAATGGTCATGTGCAACAGTGGGACATGAGAAGGCCTGATCGTTATTTTCAGCATTTTACCGCACACAGCGGCCCGATATTCGCTTGCGATTGGCATCCTGAATCTATCTGGCTCGCTACGGCATCTAGGGACAAAACAATTAAAGTACTTTTTTTACATTTGTGTATATTGTTTTTGGAAATGTCACTACAATATATATATATATATATATATATATATATATATATATATATATATATATATCTTTGGAATTTTACAGGTTTGGGATTTATCGGCTAAACCAAGTTGTGATTATACTATACACACAATTGCATCAGTAGGACGCATAAAATGGAGGCCGCAAAAGAAATATCATATAGCTAGTTGCGCTCTAGTAGTCGATTGCAGTATAAATGTGTGGGACATACGAAGACCGTATATCCCATTCGCGAGTTTTAACGAGCATAAGGATATTCCGACGGGTGTAGCATGGAGAGGCAGCTCGCAATCTTTTTTGTCCACCAGCAGAGTAATACTGTCAATTGTTTTTCTTTTCCATCGCGTTTAATATGCAGTGTGTTTGTTTCACCTCCGTGTCGTCGCAGGATTGCACGCTATATCATCATGTATTCGAAGACTCCACGAGACCAGCCAGTAAAGCGAATCCGCAAGGTATTGCATTGAATCCGAACGGTGACATTGTTTACGCTTGCAAGATGAACGTAAACGTAACAACTCCTGCAAAACAGTTAAGTAATATAATGAGGTGAATATCGGTATCGTATAAAAAAGTCATGATACGATGGCGATTGTGCGAATTTATAGAGATATTCTTGAAATTTCTGCATCTTAAATGTCTTGCAGGAAAACACCTACAACTAATGATACCTTTTGCATGGCTTCAAGTATAATGCATAGATTTAGTGTAAATTCGTTGCATAAGCCAATGTGGTTCAAAACATTCGCGGAAGGCTATCTGCTTTCTGGAAGGTTAGACGAAATCTGTGATCACAACGCAACCGTCGCGAGCAACAGTGGCAGACATGACGTAAGATATTTGTGTTTTCTCGTATATCTTCATCTACATGTAAAAATATGTATCAACTTTGTATTTTAATTATAGCTTAGTAGAGTATGGAATATTATAAAGACTTTATATGCAAATCCCCTTAATGGTTCCATCTTAAAAACACCACCAGCGGTTCCGAAGGAAGATATCGCTAGTACTTCGAATTTGGCACAAATCACAAAAAATTCCGGTATGGAACAATCAAACGCAGGTAAGCACATCATCATCAACGTACCAATATATTGTTTTGTTCAGCCGTTTAAATCGTTAATTTCGTTAGGCAACGAAAGTGACGTGAAGTCTCTTCAAGGGGAAAACCAAGCTGGTGCTACTAGTGGCGGTGAGGATGAGACAGAGACGGACGAAACGCCAGATAATCAAAATTTCGCAGATCCTGTCTTGCCGAAGTACTATTAAAATATCTGTTATTCCTAAAAATTCTATTATATTTGATATTGCGTACATCACAATATAATGGTTTATATCGCAGTTGAATAGTACAATTACGTATAATTATATACTCGACACTAATTTGTAAAAAATAATTCGTTATTGTGTTAATGATAAATTGATCGATATAGTTACAGGAGACCGCTTGCTAGTCACACGGGACTGTCGAAAGGTGACTTCATCTTTGGAGAAAGCGAACTTGAACCCATGACTCTAGAATACAACAGTGGTTTTATAAGAGACATGATAGATAACGACGACGATTGGGCGTTATCCAAGGAAGCTTTTCCTTTACGGCACGAAATAAAGGATCCGTCTCCACCACCAGAACAGTTTCCCAATCATCCTTCTGACCTCAACGAAGACTCAGCTTCCGTTGTGGTCGAGGATCAACCGTGTCAGCTGGTAGTGTCGGCTATACCTAAGCCATTGTCTTGGGATCCTACGCGTTTGATTGTGGAAGCATTGAATCATCACGCGGACATAAGGGACGTGCAGACGTCGGCATCAGTCCTCATTGCTTTAGGAGAAAAGAGAAAAGACTTAAACATTGAGATAGCTACACAAGAACACTGGTTAATGGAATACTTAGACATGCTCTGCAGGTTCAAGCTCTGGCATGTAGCTACACAGGTTTGTTCGCGATAGATATGCAATGTTGTTTTAATAGATAATATATTTCTCTCTCTTTCCCTTTTATCATGTCTCACAACGTTGCGTGGAAAAGAAATTATTTAAAATCTTTTATTATTGCGCAATACGGGATATTTAAATGAAAAGTGTTACTTCTAAATAGTAAATTAGTAGAGAATTTTTATCTGTTCGCAGATCATACAATTAGCGTGGATTCCTTCCATATCGCAAATCAATCAACAGTCAACTCTGATACATACGTGCTGTTTAGCGTGCACTAAGCCGTTGCAACGATCCGCGTGGTTGTGTGATCGTTGCCACACATCTGAGCACGCTCTCTGTTCCGTCTGTCATCAGGTGTGGTAATTTAGAACGTTAAAAGTTTTCTATTTTTTTAAGACTCGCGCTTACGCATAAGTCTCATTATTATATACTTGTAAGATTATTTTAAAGTAAAATCATTTTATTATACTTTTTATTACAGGTGGTACGTGGAATATATGTATGGTGTCAAGGATGCACACACGGAGGTCATATAAATCATATGAGCGAATGGTTCAACTGTAATCGGCAATGCCCAACAGGTTGCGGACACACATGTGAATATACGTGAAATGGATATCTGGTTAAAACTAGACGATTGTAAATAAAAATGCAAATAAATATGAGCCAGGAGAGAAATGACGGAAGCGCGACTTATGTTGCTCAACAGACTGATATAAATAACGACAGACAGCTTAAAGAATGTGTAAAAAAATGAGTTTATATCCATAAGTGATACTAATTAATTTAATGTATTTTAATGATTTATATATCACTCATTTTTTTAATTATACATAGTATAAAACTATTGTACAAGAAAATCGTGTTTATCATATACCATATCAAATTATATTTATATAATATCAATATTTATATCATATCAATCTCAACTGTTTGACTTGCTGGTTTGGTTTGCAAAAATAATTTTTTCAAGAAATTCTCCTTCGCGAAGACAAAAAATGTTTCCGCCCGGGATCGAACCGGGGACCTTCCGCGTGTTAGGCGGATGTGATAACCACTACACCACGGAAACTTGTTGGAAGGTGAGTTCTACTCTTACCTTATAACTTTACGTGACTATATATTTACGTAACATGAAATTAATATATTATTTATTACCATAAAAAAATGTTTTGTTATAAAAATATTTTGAATAAGTCTATAAATTTTAAGAATCTTTAAGAAGTATTAACCGAGATGAAGTTTTTATACTTGTAACCTAATATTTACTGAAATCTCATGAACCATCATTATTTCTTAATAGAAAACTGGTAAGCACAAACTCATAATTATGTAAAGTTTATAAAATTCATTTTATCTAAATGAACAAAATATAATCATACTGTAATAATATACTTTTAAATATAGTGTCTAGATAAATATTTCTTAGAGATACTGAAATATTAATGTTAGGGATTTATTGGTCTTTTAAATTCTCTCAAAATCTTTATAGAGCTTCCTCAATCTTCTTGATTTACGAAAGTAATACATAGGATATAGGGAATGAAATTCATACATGTTTTGTACAACTTATATCCATTTATTAAAAATGTATTAATTTAAAGACAGAACTTAATGATGAGCAGCCTTCCTCATCTGTACCAAGATGTTTCCAAGTTCTTCTCGCTTCCTCTTGGCACGGATGTGTGTTCCCAGCTAGAAAATATTAATAACCTTGTATTATAAAATTATGCAAAAGACAGTTTCACTAATAGTTTACTGATTTTGTAAAAAAAATAAGACATGTTGATTTCTAACACTTACCCTCCTCTTCAAGAATTTCAGAGCACGCTTATCCTTGGACACTTTCAACAACTCCATAGCACGCTTCTCATATGGAGCATGTCCTGTGACTTCACGGATCAAGTCTCTCACGAATTTGCTGTGTTTGGTTTGTTTCTATGATGAGAAATTTAAGATAAATTAATACAGACAAGAGAAAAAGAATATCAAGAGTTTTTTTTCAAAGAACGAATTAATATACACTGATACAATAAGTTGTGTGTAAAATAATAATATATTTTGTGTCACTAACTTATTGCACTAGTATACACAAGTTCAGGAAATTTCTGAACCTAAGGTATTATATGAGCAATTTATTATGAATATGATAAATCGGGAAGATACTGATGCATAAAAACAATGAAAGAGGTTATACAGCATATACAATATACTAACTCCTTTTAATCTAGATGGTCGGAGACACACGGTCTTTTCCTTCTCAGCTTTAGTTTTTGCCACTCGAATTTTCGTCGTTTTGTGGCCCTTATTGAGGCCTACGGCCAGTTCGTACTTCGGTGCCATCCTGGAAATAATCACAATAGGTTATGTTGTCCACAGACTAATAAATCTAAAAACGCGATAATTTTTTATAATATAACAAATCATAAATCCAATAAAGTTACTACAACAAATATATCACCTAAATTTATTTGTCTTCAAACAGATTGCGATAAAATTTTAGGATTTGAAATCTCACTAACCTTTCACGATGCTGATGCACGTATAAAGAGAATTGCTGACTTCTGCAATGTTACTAGGCATAGAAAAAAATATTACCATAGAATATGAGAGCAGCCACCAGCCTGATTTCAGTGGCCAGGTTAGGCACATTTTCGAGACGCCATCTAACAAAGTGCGTCTTTACTACGTTGGTTAGGCGCATTTTCGCGGTGATAACGATAAAATGCGCCTGGTTCGTGCCCGTCATACTTCCTTACAATGATAGTAAGTTAGAAAAGGACAGACGTTCACTCGCTATATTCTTGAAATGCTCGATCTTTTCGCGCCAAGCAGCAGTCATGGGTACACATCGATCCACATAGCTTCATGTTTCTCGCGTCTTTTATCCGTCGAAAGTGCGTCTCACGCATTAATAAGTTTCGAGAATAGCGATGTACGATCGCCGGGGCGTATCGTGAAGACCTTATTTGTAAGTAATCTTCTCATTTCTCCTCGCGGTATATGCAGCCGGTGCTTGTCACGACGTGTCGCGCTGATGTCCTTTCCCAATAAACACAAAGTAATAATAACATAACATAAATATCATAATTTCCTACTCAATAATGTAATTGTTATATAACGTGTGTGTTATATAACAGTTACATTGTTGAATAGGAAATTATAACATTGATGTTATGTTACTGTTACTTTGTGTTTACTGGGTTACATTTGCTAATAACATCGACTCGCTCAAGTAGCAATAGAATCGGGCGATCGTCGCATTTATTGAAGGGGAATTAGAAATGAGATGACAATCAGAGAGAAAGAGAGAGAAATAGAGATGCGCAATATTCGGGCGTCAGTTTGTTAGGAAAAGAAGTACGGAGAGAAGTATCTCATAGAGCGCGTTCTTTTCGGCCGCGGCGCCGTTTACATATTAGAGTATATTTTATTTATTATCTGCTCGCGGTTATTATCATACGATTGTCGATTAGGTATCATTATCACTACCATTTATTATTCAAATATTATTACTTTTTTATAATAATTATAATAATATCTGCTCGACAATTATGTGATAATAACTGCGAACGGATAATAACTGAATAACGACGATCGAATAATCGGTAATAACAATGAATAACAATGAATAACAATAACTGGGCAACAGCAATAATAACTGATTAAAGACGAGGTAAGGAAATTGTCGTAACAGCACGTCCGAGTTGCTTTCCTATGCGTAATAGCAATAATTAAATAATAACCGAATAAATTAAATAACAATCGAATAAAGAAGTAATACTCGAATATTAAATGTTAGTGATAATAATATCTGCTCGACAATCGTGTGATAATATCCGCGAGTGGATAATATCGAAATAATGACGATCGAATAATCGGCAATAACAATATCTGGCTAACGGCTCTAACGGAAACTCTAGGCTCAACAAAGGCTAAGTAAACAGACCGTCGTAACGGCCAGCTCGTGCCGCTAACTGAGAGGCGCGTCAGGGAAGCTGGTCAGGTAAACACGCATGCGCGAACACGTGCTCGGGAATCATGTCACAACGCTATCAGCCGCCGAGGCGAGCGCGTTGCGGAGCTGCCGCGTTATTAAGGAGTTATTAGGGTTTTTGCAATTCCATATTTTAGATACGGTAAACGCTGAAGTCACTTCACACCGTATCCCGTTTTTACGTCGCCTATTTCAAAAGAGTTTTTGCACGGTGAATACTACGGTAAGGTAAATGTATCAATGCCGGACATGTACCTAATTTCGGACTCTCTTATTATTTTGAATATTTCTCTAAATATTTCATCTTTCAACGTACACTAAATATAAATATTAAATATATATATACCAATATGTATGTATTGCACGTTGAAAGTTGAAATATTCATATTCAAATATAAAAATAATAACAATGTCCGGAGATGGCTACATGTCCGGGCATTGACCTTAACGTACGATAAAACAGTATTTTATAATAAGATGGAGGTTTTTCACTCTCTTCATATGAATTTTGGGATATAATCTCCCTTAAAAGTATGAAATCATCTTGACTTGTGAATCTCAATCGTTCAGATTTAATTTTGGTAATCATAACGTCGACGTTACTCGTGAACGTTATTTTTCAGAAATAACGTTCGCACGTTATCTGAATAGCGTTAACGTGACCGATGCGCATGCGCATCTCATCTTTCGAACTTTTGACTCGATGACGTCATTTTAGCGTTTACTGTATCTATACCGTATGTTTGCAAAAACTCCTTATTTTCTAAACTATTTCGCGCCGATTTTTAATACTGCATTTTAACTTCGCCACAATTAAGCTGATAATTAACACGAGTTGAGCGTACTTATTACGCGAGCAGGTGTTGCGGACTTTATCGCAGCAGGTAATTACAGCGTTTCATTTATTTTTTTACTTGTTAGATAGAGAAACGTCACGATCGAGTTCTTTACCGATCAGATATTATCATCATCCATTTATTATTCGAGTATTATTATTTCTTTATTCAGTTGTCATTTTTATTACATATTGAGAACTCGAGCGTGCCGTTACAACGATTTTCTTACATCGTAATTTACTGTTGTAATACGAGTGTAATATGTGTGCAATCAGAGCTGTAAAAATATCAGTTAAATTTGCCTTAATTTAATAATTGATTTGAGTAAATAATTTCTAATTTAATTAATTGATGATTAATACAAACCTATTCAATTAAAAATCATTAAATTAACGATTGATTTGAAGGAATTCAATTAAAAACTGTTGAATTAACGATTAAGCGAAAGTAATTAAAGATTATTCAATTAACGATTGAACATAGTCGACGTAATTAAGGGTTATTTAATTAACAATTGATATAAGAAATATATATATATATATATATATATATATATATATATATATATAAAAGCATATATTCAGCTTGGTTGGTTATTATAAGCAATGTAAATAATCAGAATTTCAATTTCGATTGACATCGATTGGTCAATCGTCTTACTGCGCTTTTCGATTAAATTTTTTTTTATCAATTGTGAATTAAATAATTATATTGACTGCGTTCAATCATTAATCGAATAATCTTTAATTACTTTCACTCGTTTTAATCGTTAATTCAACAGTTGGTTGAATTCCTTCAAATCAATAATTAATTGAATAATTTTCCTTCAAATTAAGAATCAGTATTGAATGATTTTTAATTAAATTTCTTGAAGTCAGTGATTAATTGAAATATTTTTAATTGAATAATTAAATTAATTTTTAATTGAATTGGATGCCGCGCTGGAGAATTCGGCTCGGGCCTGTCTGAGTCGATTCGAAGGTAAGCTTCACTTAGATCGCGTTAAATTGTA